CGAGCCATCTGCACGTTGTCGCGCACTGTCAGTTTTTCCTGTATTATAGACAGTAATATTAATGGCACCAATTTCTCCTCTTTTGGTGGCTCGAACGCAAGACGAAGATCGTCCTGGATGGTATCCAGGGTGGGGAACACGTGCTCGCCACAATTATCTTACCAAGAGTCCATTCCTTGGTTTTCGCGGTAAGGCGAGAAAGGAGAAAATTACCCTTTGCTTGGATGCCTCGAGAAGCCTCGAGGCGATAGCGATGTAGACTTCTCGGAACCATCGATTCAGCGACAATCGATCTTACCTTCTCCTGAGTAGGAGGAAGTTTCCATCTTCACGGCCTAATTTCATGAAGGTCTCGAGGACGTTATACCTCGCCGGTAGGGTATGGCAAGCTCGCGGGCCGTGGACTCATGTACGACAAGACGTTGACCATCAGTGGTCGCGTATCTCATTATTTCTCGTTGGAGGCACAGCTGTACCTCCTAGTTCGGAGGTTACAGCCTGCGGCAAAGCTGAATTTCTTGGCTTAAGTGCATCCGCGTCTACGTGAGACGTATCCCGATATGGCTTAAGTAAATAAACGTCGAACACGCAAATTGCGAGGCTAATATAGCGTATACTCTAGGTCCTTCTTGGCCACGACCGTGAGAGGTCCGATGAAGCGTGGGCGCAACTTCGTCTTAATGACAGCAGACACTAATGTAGTAGGTAGGCTTTAAGCATTTAGTACTACTTGGTCTCATACCTCATAACATTTAATACAACTCCTGCCTTTAGCATCCGCTTATTCTTTTTGTTTGTCTTGGCTATCAGCCATTGCGTCACGCATATGTCGTAAGACATTCAACCGCGTTGCGAGAAACGCTTTCACCTGTTTCTTAATAGTAACAGGGCTGACATCAGCAAGCCAATCGGCAACCTCTCCCCCATCAAGCTCTGAACCACTCGGTGGTAGTAATAACCGAGCGGGTGGGTGTGTGAGACCATTCACATAGAATGGAGTGTAGCCGGGCAGAGGCGTGCACAAAGCATTGAGTGCAGACTCAACAATAGCGAGTATAGAGCTCCAACGCCGAGGCGTATCAGCACAAAAGCTTCGTAGGAGATCCTCAACGATGCGATCAACACGTTCAGTTTGACCATCGGTCTGCGTGATCTGCGCTGTACCTTCACCGCCAATTGAATCCGGCACAGCCTCTAGGTGAGCCATCTTGCTTAAACAATCAGCAAAAACCATAATACCCAAGTTACCATGTGAATTTTTCGGTAGGCCAAGCTCAAAATCCATACTAATGGACTCCTAACACTCAATAGGGATAGGCGAACTAGCCAGCGCGCCGCCTAATGGTGAGAGGGTTTAGCCATTGACACGTTTCACACCTAAGCACATATGTGCTCACCCATTTGTACTTTTTTTAAAGCACCCATAACGTTGACATACTAAGCCATAGGTCTTCTCACGACCCAATTGACCGCCAATGGCGATTTCATGTGCCTCATAGAGAATAAGATATAATATCATGAGGAACCACAATGCGCGGTGGAACTGTCGTGTTCGTACAATAGTACAAAAGCCCCTGATCGATAGAATATAGATGGTGGCTCGCACGTAATCATGCCGACAATCTAATGTCCGAGTCTATAAACTCATCATTGCCAAGTGTATGAATCAAATCTACACAATGATCGTCTTTAGCATACGCCGTACGAATGAGGTCCGTGATCGAATAAGACAACGTCGTAACATGAGCAAGCTCATAGTCAGGCTGGCGTGATAACGCATCAACCAAAGCGTTTTTCTTGCCCGCTTATACTTAACCCCGAAGTTATATTCGGCAGAGAATGAAAATCAGTCGGATCATTCTCTGCGAGAGATGAGGCAACTGAGTCGCAGTGCGTAAAGATGCATGATCGGTATAGATCACAAAAGGCTTCGAGCCCAGCAGATGAATTCTGAATATGACTGAAGCATACTTCATTGCAAGTAGCTCCTTCTCATGAATGGATAGTTCTTCTCTGCAGCTTTCAGCTGGCGAGATTTAAAGGCGATCACACGCTCACGGCCTTCATCATTTTTTTGTAACAGAGCACTGCCAATGAAAATCCGACGCGTCACAGACGACGCTAAACGGTCGGTCAGGGTCTGGCAAAGCCAAAATAGGAGCATGAATAATGCTTGCCTTCACCGCTTGAAAAAGCGTCTTCGTGTTCGGCATATCTACTTATTTTGAGGAGGTTGAATAAGGGCCGAGCCATATCAGCGTAATTCTCGCTGTACTTATGCAAGTAATTGGCAAGGCCAAGCTACTAACGCAAGTCCTTCTGGAACTGTTGAACAGGCCACTAGACTATGGCTTTGACCTTAGCTGTATCCGCTCGGAGGCCTCGCTTCCAAGTGAAGCTCCATAAACATGGAATCTCTTCGGCACCAAAAATGCACTTAGATGCATTAGAATATAGCTTATTAGTGTGCATGCACTCGAGCACATCTCTTAAATGAACATCGAATTTCAATTGAATATCACCCGGGATCGCTGATGGCTCTCAATATCCGACCGCCCATGTTCAGCACGACTATGGACAAAAATGTTCAAAGTACACATGTGCATAATTTTGATGGGGTCGAATAATTGTGTCATCAAACGTTCAAACGTAGCCGAAGCATTCGATAGCCCCTGGGGAGTCACCAATCACCCCCAGAGTATACCGCTCGGAGTACTAACCGCGGTGAGCGGAATATCGCTAGCTCGCATAAGCAATTGGTAATAACCATCGACTAAGTCGAGCGAGCTGTACATGGTACAGCCGGCCATATTGTTCTGAAAAACATCCTTCCTGGAATTGGCGTCTGTGCAGGTATAGTGGCTGCATTGATCGTATTATAAGCATGAACAATACGCCACTTACCATCGGGTTTTTAACACAAAAAATAGGTGTCGAGTGCGGAGATTTACTCTCGCGCACCATACTCGCCGCGTGCTTTGCACGAAAGAACTCGTCAATGAAGTCACACTGTTCTTTGGTTAAAGGCCACTGCCGTGCTACGCAGTATTTGGTTTCAGGAACCAAGTCAATATCATGACGTACACCCCTATCAGGAGGTAGAACAGATGGTGGATCATAGCACACCACGTCCTGAAATTCCTTAACTAAAGGGTAGTATGGATCCAAAGGGTTCCTATAGATAGATGATTCACTACGTGCACTAAGTGCATCGTAGTGGATCATCTATCTATAGGAACCCTTATACACCAATATACAGCACAATAAACGACTCGAGCAGTGGCTCGCGCCAATAGTGCTCTTGTTTCCTAGCGAAGGTGGATTCATGACTCTCGAAAGCTTCACTAGGAACATTACGCGTTGCGTCTACGGTTTCGCCCTCCCAGCGATCATGACTCGTAGCGTTATAGCCAAGCCATCCGAGAATCAGATCATATTCTGAGTCCAAATCTAGGAAAAGACAGTGTTCGATGTTACTGAAATCCAGAAACTTCACTCCTAAGCTCAACGGATCGGTGGCCCCCGTGCCCCAGTCGCGAGACGGATCGTAATAAAATTATCTTCTTGCACTTTCAGCTCTTCAGCAAACTGGAGATTTCCTTCAAGGGTACGGCGTCAAGCATAATTACTTGACGCCCCTGAGTCAATAAATATTGGCCTTGGCTTATAAAACGCCCTTAATGGTTGCTAATACCGCCAACAAGCCTTGCTTGTTATAGTGTCTAGCAGAATTTTCAATCGAATGTAGGGCTAAGCCCATTTCACCATTTTCTCCTAGAGGTTACACAGACTTAATTCATTCCCAGTAGGGCGCCTCGCGTCTACTGGGAGTCTACGATTTCTTCCACGACCAGCCTTTCGGCTTGGAAGTGGGCTGTAGCTCTGCCGATTCTGACGTTGCTTACGCAATAGACAACTTGGGCGGAGGCGCCTTGTGCTTCCGCGCAGGTAACATATACAGATGTTACGTTGCTACTCTGCAGCTTGAAGCTCAGCTTCTTCACCTTCAGCATGGCTGAGGTCCATGGGCTCTACCCCAACAAGTGAGCTCAAAAATAACCATGGGTACCGAAGCTAGCCCCTCGGCGTTCAACGCTACGTCGACCACCTCCTCGAAGATCGAAGGGTGGACACAAAAGATTTTCGCCCAGACAACTCCAGTGCGTAGTCCTTCATAAAGATGATAACTCGGAACTCTTCCGGCAGAGGGTCTATTTGTATATCAGCACATGAGCTCTCAGCTCTTGGAAAAATTTCCGACAAATCCTTCTCCCTTGTCGAGAAGCCAAGAAGCGCGATCGCACGCGATAAGCCTAATTAGGCGGTGCAAATATCCGAGACATATGTTGTTTTAGCAAATTCCATGTGGGAAACGCTGCGTCTACAGACGCATCGCACGTAAATGCCTATTCTCGGGCTCTGCCACTAAGCTTCGTAATGGCTAGTCCCACCCGCTGCTGCTCCGATCTGAACATAGCGGCGCTCATAGCCATCTCGACCTCCCGGATCCAGCGGAGTAGGTTTTTCCTTACTTACCTTCGAAGGTTTTACGCTTATTACAAGCGGTTAAACCTTCGGTTCTTGATCAGCTACCGAAGGGTAGCTCGTCGGCAAAGACGACGCTACATGGTCATGCCCTTGACCAATTAAAGTTTCTTCGTAACGCATTAAGGCCTTAAGACGTGCATCAAGCACTTCGGGCCTTGGGCCAAAAGAGCTTCGATTTGGTGGGGCCCAACGACCGCAGATAAAAAAATTGGTCAGCGCGAGGCGTTGCGCCTTGGAGAGTTGGTTACTACTCTCCATCCCACGGAGGTTCAGTTGTTTATACATTTCAGGTGTGAGAAGACTACAAGTGCTACCAATTTTAGCGGAGCTACACAGCTCTTAAGTCAGAGGAAGACTTGAAAGGCCAAAAGCCTATTAGTTATAAAGAACTAAATAAAGCTACGGCTAAAAGCCACTTAGTTCTAAGAAGCTAATTAAACGATATCCGTTCAATGGAACTGGGAGAGAATTCTGCAGTTAACGCGCTATGCTTACAAGCGTAATAACCTTACGGTCATCTAAGACCTAAGCGCACAAGGTGCATTAGAAAACAAGTGTTACAAAGACTTTGCTTCTATAACTCAAAATGAGAACTGATTTTTTTATATGAATTAAGATATCACATTTAACAACTTGAGGTTGTCAATAGTGTAACTAAGGTTGACAACATTAAGTTGCTCGCTGTAACGGAGTTACACGTATCTTGTTCACAACCGTTGTAAACAAGATACGTCATCCAAAGTACGCGAGTGAGACCAACTCGTACGACTTTTTGGTGCTTGAGCTCGAGCAAGCCAGCTCTTTTTCTCCCATTGCGCTCGCCAAGGCCGACGACTCGGACATCGCTGGTGGTGGCAACGTGACGGCCATGGGTTGGGGTGCTACTTCTCAAGGTGGCAACCTGCCGACCGAATTACTTCGTATCGACGTGCCCCTGGTAAACAATACCGCGTGTGCCAAGGTTCTTGATATCGACAACTCAATGCTGTGCGCCGGAGAGGGACTCCACATGGACGCGTGCCAGTGTGATTCTGGTGGGCCGCTTATTACAGAGCAGTCGAGTGAAGACGTGCTCATTGGCGTCGTAGCTGAGACAATGGGTGTGGACGTGCCGGATACCTCGGCGTTTATGCTCGAGTCTCCGTCGCGACTGGCTAAGCACAAATGAGACGTCATTTCAAGCACTTGCGACCGCTACTACGCGTGCATCTAGCAATTCTTCTCTTCCAATCCTATCTCGACTATGGCTCGTCAACAATGGTAAAAGGCGCTTATACACGGCTTAACCGCACACTCAAAAGCTTCTTCTAGCCGCCATAAAGTACAATAGACAGAAGACGTATCATTGGGTGCCGCGGCTGTTGCTGCCACGTTTGGCGACGAGCCAGTAGAAGATGCTGCACTCCCGGACAATGAAGCCGATGAAGACGTCGAGACTGTTGCAGCGGATATGCAAAGTTTGAGCCGCATTCAGCGCAAGCGCCTGGAGCGGCGCGCCGCCTATATACGAAAGATTGGAATGGTGTCGTGCATGATGCAGGAGTAGCAGAGCCTGGCATGATGCAGGCAAGCGGCGTGTTCGATGGTCTGGAAGAACTGTTGAGCTCACTGTTTCCGGCCGATGAAAATAAGAAGAAAAGCAAAAGTTGAAGAGATAGATAGAAGAAAACGCTGAGTGGTCATCAACGCCAGAAGCTGGCGGTGGGTGAGCTGGGCCATCTCAAGATCATGCAGACACATAAAGGTTTCAAGAGCGACCCGTTTGCGGCCATTCCGGCCCATCTGCAGAATACCGTGGTCAGGCCGCCAATCAGTAGTTGCTGCAGAAGACCAATGCTGCCAAGAGAAAAAGAGCGAAAGGTGCTGCTAGTATGGACGTTGAGGCTTAGTATTATAGCTCAAGAGTATACATGATGAACAGATAATGTGTGGTGTTGCTACTTAGAGGCTGGGCAGGACTGTTCAGTGTTGTAAGATGGAGACAATGGCATGGCGGACGGCCAGGAAAATCTCTCCCCGTGTCTCGTACTTGGAGCAACAACGCCCAAAGAGGCCGACCATCGTAAGCTTCTTACGAAAGTGGGCCTCAAGCTATTTGTATATCATTAGAGAACAGATTATGACGAGAGTAGATTCTTGGGCTCGAACTCGTATGATCGTTTTATCGGCCATGCTCTATGTGGCGCAGTCGTAGAGAGACCGTAGATGTAAACATATCAGTCGAAGACGGTCGCACCTGCTCGGAAGTTTAAAGACCACATCCGACGTTAAGCGCCCACTTGGAGTGCGTTGTGCTTCATTGATATAAGCGATACCTCGCAAATTAAATTGAAATGTGAGCAACAGCCATTGGGTCGGACGAGATAGGAAAAAAGATCAAGAAAAGAGAAGCTAATTTGGTTGTTTGATGTAATGTCATTGCGTCGTCGCTTTAGTGGCAACGTCTCAATGTATATGGGATGTTGTATTTCAAGCATTTGTGGAGGATGCCGAGTTCTTGCAATGGATATCTGGTTTTTGCAGTTTGTTTGTGCTGAAGTTGATGTTGATGACGGTGTGAAAGGTAAAGGCATAGTGTGATGGATGAATGGCTGTATAGAGTCGTCCAAGTAGTGAATGCTTAAAGATAGGTGGGAATCTCAGCCCAAGACGAATGACAAGTCTTATATGAAAGCCGAGCTTCAGTCGGTCAATGCTATAGTGTACTGGTTCTCGCTTTATTGCAGTCTCTCTAGCGTCCAGCTATGCTAGATATATAGATATATCTCTTGACACTCAAAGATATATATTACTTAGCTTAGCTCTTTCTGGCTACTGACGACTTGCCTTGCACTTAGCACTTTTCTGACTGAGCTTTTGAGCTTTCATGTATGCGGCTGCAGCTAACCTGCCAGCCGCCACCTTGTCACCTACGTTTGTCGACTCGTCCAGTTGTCGACTCGTCCCATTCTGATCTCCGCCGTTTCCCTTCTCCATTGTTTCCACGTTTCACCATCGGCATCGGTAACCGAACGTGAGATGTGTAAACGGACGTGAAATGTTCCAACGACTTCAACTTGGGAGGAACATATCACAACAGTACGGTGGTGGTATACAATGGTGCTTACCGGCGCATCGTTATTGTAAAGGGTGTAGTAAGAAGATATGCCAAACATAATCGCCATAGAGCAAGGAAGCAGTTGCGATGCTCGGTGATACCGCCAGCTGAAGCAGGTAAGTGTAGGAGTTGTTTCTTTTCTAACTTGCAAAGGTGTCTGAGAAGCATTTGGGGGAGGTCGTGGCTTGCAGGGCCAGCGGCAATAAATCTGCAATAGAGGCGGTGCATTGGCTGTAGTTAGGTGATGTCATTTGTCATTTATGCAGCTGTGTTTGCTTGGATCCAGCTGCAAAAGCTACCATGATCTGCTCAATATTTAAGACCGAAGATGCAGTGTTCCACAAATCTATTTAGTAATTACACAAGGGCGTATATAGAACACAAACAGCGTTTCGCGTACACAGTCAATTATATTTAGCTCATTTTTCTCGCTTTCTCGATTAGCCGTTGCTGTTTCAGCCTTTTGTAAACATCATCTCCATCTCTTGCTCTTTCTCCCAACACTTTCACCAAGGTATCCCACCACTTAATCGCTGATTTAAGATGTTTTGAGGAAGTAATCCATATAATCTATCCGTCAACGAAAAATAGGGTTTTGGAACAGCTATTCAGGCGTCATGTCGGCTTCAGCCGTAGAAACTCGAAAATGTGTCCCATCAGCTTTGTTCCAGGAATGAAAGATATCATGCTCCATTTTGTTAAGCGGTATGCCGCGCAGACGTACTCGATGACTTTTTCGCGGACAAAATCATTTCACCTAATTTGTCCATCTTGTCGTCGAATTGACCATTCATCAGACGTGGCATGTCAGCCTCACGATATACGTAATCAACCATAGTTGTTGGGTCAGTTTTCCACGGTCTGTCTTCGGTGTTTGATGCAACCTTTTTATAATCGTCATCGGTTGCGAGTCTTTTGGTTCTAGGATAAGCCTCCGCGTACTTCATATAAGTGACGAAAAGAGGGATCTCAAACAGGTTGCCCTCGTCTTCCAAACTTTTACCCAGATTGTCTTTACCAAAAAACATATCGAAAACCTCGTTTGGCTTTTTGTCTTGAGTAAACCACAATTGGAAGAGAGCTTTTTCCGATTCCGTAGACAGCAACCCTCCTGTACCCGATGCAATTTTTATACCTTGAAGAATCTCGTTAGCCTCGAAAGCCGCCTCCTTCGTCTCTGTATGTGTTTTTCGGTTCATATTGACAGTTTTTGTGAACGTGACAAATGTCTTCATCGAAGGGTCTTCCAACAACTTATACCCTGCACGGTTGAGGTCAAGAAGCTCGAACACGTCGTCTAATGACTTTCCATTTGACACCCACGTTGCGCATAACTCGTTCTCCACAATTATAGCAAATTTTGCGGATTTTTTGACCTGTCGCTCAGCATTGATTAGATCGGCTAAGCCTTTGTCACCGTAAAGGGTTCGCAAATAGTTGAAGTCACTTGTTTGGGGCTCTTCTGGATGTGCTGCCCTAAACTTTCGCAAGCAGGTACGCCAAAAAATGAAGAGTGGATTAGAGAAAAGGCCATCCTCAACCCTTTCCAGTTTTAGCTCCACGAACAGTTCATAAACTCTGCTTTTTGTTTCAAAGTTCGCCTTTTCCGCCTCATCCTTCAAATAATTCTTGAGAAGAAATCCCTTGTTCGAGGCCTTATCGTCCAAGAAGCTGACGACCTTTTTCTTTGTGTTATGTTCCACATTGATCCTTTCAAAGTAGGTATACCAATGATTGAAGACTGGATGAGTAAGCAGGCCATCCTCAACTTTATCTAGTTTCAGCAGCTTGAACACTTCATCAGCAGAATATTTCTTGCTCAGCCAATTGTCTAGCTGCTCCTCCCCCAATTTTACAGCGTTGATTTTGCTCTTCGTATCCTTCTTCGCATCTACTATTAGGCGCGCCAAGGCTGCATCGGAGTAATACTTGGACGTCAAAATGTCGACGGCACTCACTTTTTCCGAATGTTTCGTATTGAACCTTTCCACGTATGTGCTCCAATATTGAAATAATGGACGCGCAAGCAGGTTACCTTCAGCCTCATTCAGTCCCAGTAGCTCGAACCCTCCACCAGCAGAAAGATGATTGTTCAGCCAATATTCCATTTGTGCTTCCTCCAATTTCAAAGCGGCGCCGTTATGTGTTGGGTCCATCTTTGCATCAACGATGAGTTCTGCAATACGTTTATCATTATATTTCTTCTTCAAAACAACCATCGCTGACACTGGATCTCCAGAATGCTTCGCGGCCAGTTTCAAAAGCACTTGATACTCCTTAGGTTCTGTTTTCGTAAAGAGTTTGTCCATCTTGGGAATTACTGCATCCTTCAACTTTCCGACCATTTCGCTGAGGCCTTCGTTAAAGCCCTGACCAAAGTTTCCCGCCCTTTCACTGTCGTCTCTATCCGCAGTATAGATTGACTCTTCAGAGGATTTCGGACTCCCAGCGGCGAAAACTGTTGTCTTCTCTTCGGCAAGAACCTCGTTTACCAAACATTCACATTCATCATCCCGTCACCTTTGTCTCTACCTGCAGTAGAGCTTGACTCGGTAGTGGAATTAGTCGTACTCACAGCGACGGAAGTTGTTGTCTTGGCTTTGGTAGCATGCGTGATCGCGGCTGCTGCAAGAAGTAATTGAACGTGGCACGCTCGCATGATTGGCTTTCCAGGTAATTACTGCAGGACAAACTACAAAATGAATCGGAAGTTGCTGAGCTCAGCCAGTAGAAGAAAACATGTGAACCGAATGAAAGTGACATAGGGAGTCATTGCACACCAGCAACAGTACTTAGTGTTGTAAAAGAAGCGACTCGGCATGCAAACGGCAACCACAAGAATGTACGGTCTGATTAGTTAGGTGTGCGCCTATCCCATGAGTAATACCACTAGCGTGGATTACTCATGAGTGACTATCTGATGAGTCATGTGTGTAGAGTAGATTACTCATGTGCGGCTATCCCATGAGTAATGCGCGATATAGCGATTAGAAACGTGTAGTCGAAGAATCCAGTAGGCTTAGAGTAGCAACAGAGTTTGTGAACTAAGGACCTAAATATATTCACTTTGCATTTTGTTTTCTACAACTCAAGTGCTTTAACAACAGGTTATGAGCCCAAGCTCTGCTGACTCTGCCCCCGACGCCGACTTCGCCTTCAACATGGACGCTGCCACCGCCACCAACGCTCGCATCAACAAGTTTGATGGTTCGAACTTCCACACTTGGAAGTTCAAAATGCAGATGGTGCTGGAGGAGCGGGACCTTTGGGAAGTGACAAGCGGGGAGATCAAGCTGGAACACCTTGCCACTACGCTGGATCAGTCAACGTTCAAGCGCAAGTCAAGGAAGGCGCTCGCGATAATCTGTCTTGCGATGGAGGACTCGCAGCTGCCCCTGGTCCGGTCGGCAAGTGGAGCGTACGATGCATGGTCGCGGCTGGAAGGCCACTTTGAGAAGAAGAGCTTAGCCAACAAACTCTTTCTTCGTCGCCGTTTCTTCACGGCCAAGATGGAGGAAGGCGATGATGTGCTTTCGCACATCAACAAGATAAAGACACTGGCGGAACAACTCGACGCGGTGGGTGCTCCGGTCAGCGAAGACGACCTGGTGATCACGCTTCTTGGAAGCTTAAGTGAGTCGTTTGCATTTCTCATTACTGCTTTGGAGTCAAGGGCCGACTCGCTGTCGTGGGAACTGGTGACATCCAGGCTGCTACATGAAGCCATGAAGCGCAAGGAGCAAGGCAGTGACGGGGTCGCTGCAGGTCAAGCGTTCATGACAGGTGAGAAGAAGCGTAGTGGACGGCCATTCAAGAAGACTGGCACGTGCAACTACTGCGGTAAGATGGGTCATTGGATCGCGGAGTGTACCTCACGGATCCATGACAACGCGGACCCACAGCGTCCGCAGCGTGCGAATGTGGCGCACAACCAAGATGAAAAATTGGACGATTTCCTGTTTGCAGCTGGACTGGAGAGCAACGACGACGACAGCGTCAAGAATCCAGCATGGCTCATAGACTCTGGTGCGACGCAGCACATGTCATTCTCAAAGCTGTTTATGACAAACTACAAGACCATCGATCCAGTTAACGTTCATCTCGCAGACGACGGGGTCGTGCAGGCGATTGGGACCGGCAACGTAGTGATGATGATGAAGACACCAAGTGGTGCCAAGAAGGGTGTGCTTACGAATGTGTGGCACATTCCAAAGCTTTCACGCAATCTGTTCTCAGTTGGCCGATTTACCAAGGATGTCGCGGAAGTGACGTTTGATACGAGCACCTGTTATGCAAATTCCAAGAACCAGAAGTGGAAGATCGGCGAGCGTGCCGGCAAAGGTCTCTTTAGACTATGCATGACACCTGTGCAAGTCGAGAGCGCGAGCATCGCAAGTGAATACAACAAGCCTCAGATGAGCAAGTCATACTTGTGGCATCTGCGTCTTGGTCACATTGGCCATGGTGGACTCGACGCGATCGTGAAGCAGAACCTCGGTGTCGGCATCGACATTACATCTGTGGGCAAGTGGGAGCTTTGCAACGGATGCGCGCTCGGAAAGCAGACACGAGTGAGTTTTCGGTCAACTACACGTAAACCAGCCAAGAACCTGCTTGACGTCGTGCATTCCGATGTATGTGAACCAATGCAGACTTCGACATTTTCCAACAAGCGCTATTTTGTGACGTTCATCGATGACAAGTCGCGGTTTTGTACTGTGTACCTAATTCACAGCAAGTCTGAAGTGTTAGACAGATTCATGCAGTTCACCAAGTTTGCCGAGACTCAGACCGGTCATCGCATCAAGATGCTCCGCAGCGATAACGGTGGAGAATATGTTTCCAACAAGTTCGCCGCGTTCTGTCGCAACAAAGGCATCATACAGCAATTCACACCGCCATACACCCCACAACTCAACGGAGTGGCGGAGCGAATGAACAGGACTCTAGTCGAGAGTGCTAGATGCATGATTGAGCATGCGGGACTAAGCAAGCGCTACTGGGGTGAAGCAGTGTCAACGGCAGCGCTCCTACGCAATCGAAGTCCGACGCAAGCAATTGGCCATGAAAAGTCCCCACACGAGGTATGGACGAAGACGAAGCCGTTGTTGAAAAACCTGAAAGTCTTTGGATGTCACGCATATGTGCATGTGCCGAAAGAGAAGAGGTCGAAGCTTGATGCGCGATCGACGTTGTGTCGCTTCTTGGGCTACTCAGACCACAAAAAGGCGTACCGGTTTGAAGAGATATCAAGCAGTCGCATTCTAGTGAGTCGCGACGCCCAATTCATGGAAGACATGTTCGACAGCGGGAAGTGCATGCAACAAAGTGGCATCGACCCTATCGAGTATCATAACACTGATGAAGGCTTCAACGATCGTGACAACGGGGTTGCCAATGAAGACATGGATGTGCATATGCCCGAATCAGCATCGATCCATGAGCGGCCACAATGGCAACAAATGCAGCGTTCAAGTCATCAACCGCATTATCCGCAGCATCAGACAGCCGAGTTTATACCGGGGTCGAAAAGACATGTACGCACACAGTCACTAGAAGCTTTGTCAGAGCCGCCAATGGAAAAACGCTATGGACGCGGGGCTAGTACAAGTGGTGTGCACACATCGTCTGTGCAAGGTACTGCGTCACCACTCGAAGCCATGTCGGCGCTTCTCGCATCTATTGATGAAGAAGAAGACAAAGAAAATGAAGAAGACTGTGCTAATGTCGTGGATTCAGTGGGAGAAGCGCCGATGACATTCTCATCGGCTATGGAATCCAGCGACGCAAGACAGTGGCGAGAAGCGTGCGAATCAGAGTTTCAGTCATTGTGCAAGAACAACACGTGGGAACTCGTGCCGTTACCAATTGATCGCAAGGCGATCAGCAGCAAGTGGGTGTTCAAGGTGAAGGAGACTGTTGATGGACTCATCGAGCGATACAAAGCGCGCCTCGTGGCAAAAGGATTTTTGCAAAAGTACGGTGTGGACTTCGAGGAGACGTTCGCACCAGTGGCCAAGTTCGCGTCGATCCGGATCATTGTGAGCCTCGCCGCGCAGCACAACCTCGTACTTCACCAGATGGACGTCAAAACGGCGTTTCTCAACGGTATGCTTGAAGAAGAGATCTACATGAAGCAGTCTGACGGATTCGTTGATGCCAATCATCCTCACCATGTGTGCAAGCTCAAGCGTGCGTTGTACGGACTCAAGCAATCCCCTCGAATGTGGAACCAGACTATTGATGAGTTCATGCGCAATATTGGCTTCACCAAGTGCGAGATGGATCACTGTGTCTACGCCAAGCGTGACGACAAGGTCATGATGTTTGTTGTCATATACGTCGACGACCTCATCCTTGCGTGCAACAACATGGACATCCTCGCAGCCACCAAACGTGCATTGAGCGAGCGATTCGAGATGTACGATCTCGGTGAGCTTAAGTACTGCCTCGGAATAGAAGTCGAGCGAGATGACAAGTCAGGCGATGTATCGATGAAACAGACTAAGTTCTTGCGATCGATTCTGACCAAGTTCGGTATGCAAGACTCTAAGCCTGTTAAGACACCGCAAGACCCCGGACTGAAGTTGACTAAGCGTATGTGTAAAGATGGATGCAAGCACAACTACACCATGCAAGGAGTGCCATACCGAAGTGCCGTCGGAGCCTTGATGTACCTCATGGTAGGCACGCGTCCAGACCTCGCAGCTTCAGTGGGAGTGCTCAGCCAGTTTGCTGCTGACCCGTGTCCGACACACTGGCAAGCACTCAAGCGCGTGCTACGGTACCTGCAATCGACTCCTACACTTGGTATTCGTTTTATTGGCGCTGGCAATGGCAAGTTGCTTGGCTATTCCGATGCCGACTGGGCTGGAGATACTGATACTAGACGAAGTACCAGCGGCTACGTATTTGTGCTTAACAACGGCTGCATCAGCTGGCGTAGCAAGAAACAGCGCAGCGTGGCGCTCTCGTCTACCGAAGCAGAGTACATGGCACTGTCGGAGGCGACCCAAGAAGCGACGTGGCTCAAGACGTTCATGCGTGAGCTCGGTGAAGAAGCAGGTTATGACGCTCTAACTATCTATGAAGACAATCAAGGTGCTATTGCGTTGGCCAAGAACCCAGAGTTCCACAAACGCACTAAGCACATCGACATTCGCTACCACTTCGTGCGAGAAAAGGTCGAAAAGAATCAAGTCGTGCTACAGTACTGTCCAACGCAAGATATGCTCGCTGACATCATGACCAAGGCAATCGCAGCGCCACAGTTCACCATCTTCCGTACTAAACTCGGCATCACTGTCGGTGTCGCTACCGAGTCGAGTGGGAGTGTTGTAAAAGAAGCGACTCGGCATGCAAACGGCAACCACAAGAATGTACGGTCTGATTAGTTAGGTGTGCGCCTATCCCATGAGTAATACCACTAGCGTGGATTACTCATGAGTGACTATCTGATGAGTCATGTGTGTAGAGTAGATTACTCATGTGCGGCTATCCCATGAGTAATGCGCGATATAGCGATTAGAAACGTGTAGTCGAAGAATCCAGTAGGCTTAGAGTAGCAACAGAGTTTGTGAACTAAGGACCTAAATATATTCACTTTGCATTTTGTTTTCTACAACTCAAGTGCTTTAACAACACTTAGGGAGTCATTGCACATCAGCAACAGCTGAAACCGTGACGTTTTAATTTATAAGATGTTTCATTTTAGCACTAATTAATCAAATGGTCTTTAGATAATTTTTGGGATGTGCAATGGCTAAGCACAAAAGGTGCTGACTTCCCTTTTTATTTTCTACGACTGTGTATGGTATATTAATATTTCCCTTTTGCAATGACATAAAACATATCGTCAGCTGTATTTTGTTATTCCAGTTGTCCAAAAGCGGTCTTCATAAATACAACTTTTAGTACATATAATACCCTTTTTCATCTTAGAAAACACCAACGGTGCAGAAAGTAAGAATAAGGTTAAGATATATGACTCGTATATTAACGCGTGCCAGACGCGTTTCGGCCCCCGTTAGGGTCAGAAGCATATGTAAGCCCCTAAAACAATCCATGTATCCTGGCGTCGGTGAAGCTCTGATGTCGATACCAAATGCAACTTGCACTTCCAGCAGCTGGTACTACTGCTGGTGCTTGATGACGACATGTTCGGGCATTGTGACCATAATGATAGTATTGGATACTGTTGTGGTCATACAGTAAACGAACATTCAAAGACTACATAACACATAAATACTATCTGCTGGCACGAATCGACTACGCTCTAGCACCGAAGAATCCTACACATTAAAAGAGGCCCTATACGTATGCATCTTTAAGCATTCAAGCAAGCTGGTCTTCCGCCAATCTAAAACGAACTATCTTGAGCATCGACACGAATAAAGCTTTGACACCATCGTCTTTTTTATTGCCGATTCTTTTGTGTGTTTGACTACAAGAAACTAAACTTCCTGCTGTGCATGGGCGTTAATTGCGGCTCTTACTTGTTCCTGGGAAGCATAGGCAAACTGTGGAGGTGGTGCAAGGCTGAGATGGATGTTATTTTGACTTGGAACTAATCAGAATTTCGAAGGGAGGTGATGGTTGACAAAAAGGTCCTTATGATTCTGGTAGATTGTAGTCAAACGGCTGATACATAGCTGAAAAAGCTCGTGTATTTGTACTTGATTTGCTATGCAAAGAGTAATCCAGACCTCACGATTTTGGCCGTGAATACGTTTGTTAAAGACGCGGCAGATTCCAATCCACTTGTTCGAACGCTATCGGTCCGTACCATGGGCTGTATTCGTGTGGACCGCATTATAGAGTATCGGTGTGAACCTCTACGTCGTTTCTTGAAGGATGAAGACCCGTACGTACGGAAGACGGCGGCCATCTGTGTGTCCAAGCTCTATGACATTAATTCGGATAGAGTAGAGGTACAAGACAATCTCGATATGTTACGAGACCTTATTTCAGACTCAATCCAACGGTAGTGGCCAATGCCATTGCAGCTTTGTTCGAAATCTCAGAGGACAGTGCAGGAGTAACGGCTTTCACGATTACCAAGTCCGTGCTGCACTTAATGATTGCAATGAGTGGGGACAGGTCTTTGTCGATGCTTTGGCAGGATATATGCCCGCGGACTTCACGAGGCAGAAGGGATTATTGAACGGGTGACGCCACGTCTCCAGCACGCTAACTCGGCATCAATGATTTGGATTATCGGCGAGTATGCCGAGCGTATCGACAATGCAGACGAGCTTTTAGAGTCGTTCATGGACTTTTTCGATGATGAGACTGCCCAGGTGCAGCTGCAGCTTCTGACTGCTACCGTAAAAATGTTCCTCAAGCGTCTCAATGAGACGCAGGAAATAATCCAGAAGGTGCTCCACAAAGCCACGGAGGAATCAGACAATTTGGACTTGCGTGACCGCGAATACGTATACTGACGCCTACTTTCGGTCATATCCGGAAGTAGTTCATGCTGTCGTGCTTGCGGAGAAGTCAGATAGAAGCGATGATACTTGTGCCCTTGAGCCTTCGGTTTTGGACCAGCTGATCGGAAAGATTTCGACGCTTGCTAGTGTCTATCACAAGTTCCCCAGCGCGTTTGTTGTGCGGTTGACGGTACCGGAGGTACACGGGCGCCGCCAGGATAATCATTACAGCGTCGACGGTGAGGGCGAGAGTGAAGGCTCTTTTGACCAGACAGAAGATGGACGAATCGGTCAGAAGGCTGGTGACCCCGTGGACCTGCTTGATATGGGTACTTTTACTCTTGGAGACCCTTCCTCGATTGCGTCGGACCCTGTGGCAGCAACGTTAGCTAGTGCAAGCTTGGTCGACATTTTTGGTGGTCCTGCTGCTCCGCCTGCTCCAGTGGGAGTCAGCGGTAATGCAGTCCAGAAAAATCTGTAGATGGATGCGCAACAAGGCAAGGGCTTGGTGATGACGGGCGTTTCGCACGCCGCAGTAGCAACTTTGTACTTGGCGTGGATTTTGAAAACCAGCATCTGCACCAATTACGGGAGTAAGCATCCAGTTCAACAAGAGCACGTTCGGTGTGGTGCCAATGCAAGCAACAATCACGTTCCCACAACCTCTGGCACCGGGATAAATCGTAAACCAAGTTGTGCCCATGAGTGTGAGCCCGCAGTTTGTCAACGCCGCTGTGGCACCGAACCTCAATCTGCAGGTTGCGATCAAGAACAACTCGAGCGGCGACGTGGTATACTTCCAGTCCGAATTAGATCTTTCGGCTGTTTTTACCGAGGCCGGCAGCATGGCGTCGACCGAGTTTATCAGCATGTGGCAGAGTATCGCCGAAGCGAACAAGCACTACTTTACGTTGGTAACGGGTGGATGTGGCATAGAGGACGTGTCACGGCGTCTGAGGCACAACAACGTTTTTTCATAGCCAAGCGGTCCATCGACGGAAAGACGATTGCGTACTTCTCGGTCAATATTTGCGTACTTCTCGGTGAAGACCATGACAAATATTGTGGCACTCTTCGAGCTCACATTCGACGACACGGGTACCACGAAGGTATGTCTCAAACTGGAACAAGTCGGTTGCGTCGAAAGCTTTGCACTATTATGTTGGAGCGCTTCCTCACCTTTCTTTTTTCAAGGTCGCCCAAGTTGGTATTTGTGATCGTCAGCATATACCAGCTCTAGACCACAGGCAAGTTTAACGCCAATGTTCGCCGCCTGTGTTTTAGAAAGGCTGTTCTCTTCACCCTTCGATCTTTCCAACACACGGTAGCGTGCATCACGACTAAGAAAGGGCTTTGGTGGGAAGAATTCTTGGTGCTTGAGCTGAGCAAACATGGCTCTCGAGAATGTGACTCTCTGTTCTACTACTTTATCTCCTTCTGGCATGAATGTTGCCATCTTGCTACACACGAGGCCAGTCTGCTTCGGTTCTCGGTAGTAGAACGCTTCAACCGCCGGACCTACTAGCTCTCCATTCTTTGCAATGACATGTGCTGCTCTCTCGGGAAGCAAACACGTCACTTGATGGCGATTCTCGCACATATAGGTCGGTACTTCATCCAGTTTGTGCTGAATCAATTGCTGCACTGCAGCACTGACCTCGGTTTTTACACTGGTGTCCAGCACTTGTTTCAATGCATCTTCATCGTACTAACTTCCATCTTTGCCTCTTTTGCTGGTCATTGGAGGCATTGCAATGTGTAGTTTTCCATTCATCGCAAACACTCGACGCTCGCTGTCTTCAGGTATGACCCAATCTGGTAACGCTTCAGCACTTTCAATAAGCAAAAACTCTCCATCTGAGTCAGCAACACGCCCGACTACACCCGGAAACTTGATTGTTATGTCAAACACTAATTTGGCCACGACCCATTCGTCCTGGATAGCATCACCAACACTTGAACATCCGGACAAATAATAACGCCCATCGCTAACCGGAGTTACGTCGAGGTGGAAGTGGTGTTTGTGCCATAGAAAACCCTTGGTCTGCTCTGCTGCAAATGACAGGAATGCACTGCAGTACTGCTCTGCTATCTGTAAAAATCGTCTTTTGCCGAGGTAACGGGAAGGAAGAAGCAGTAGCACACTTCGTTATCGTCTACTCTTAGCGTCGGAAAAAGCTTCATGATAAAATGAATAGCGACTTCTTTTTACGTCGTTCGTTTTGACATGGCGTTACGTAATGTCTGACACGCAAAACAAGTTGAAGCGCTCGTCTGAGTCAGGAACTCAGGTGTCCACAATTTGTTAAACGGGGGGGGGTCGAGTCTGATAATTTTTCTGCTGCGCATACAACACATAACGAGTTGTGTCCATACTGGACGTTGACATGGTTGTATAAATTCATTGGTAGCGAAGCTCTAGCCTTCATCTCTAATTTCGTAGCAGACTTACTGCATTGTCCAATTTTCTTCGCTCCGCTTCATGGTAATCATGAACCTGACTCGACGCGCTCGTCTCGTTTTCATTACGACCGTGGTCGCGGCTAGTGCCGACGGCGGCCAACTAGAGTTCGACGGTGGGAACCTTCCGACCAAACTTAATTATCCGGAATACATCTCGCAATTCATATCCAAGACAGAATCGACAACTCCCACCAATATCGAGCCACTCATTCTCGGTGGAAATATTGTGCCTTCTGGCACCAAGACGTACACGACGGGTGTGCGCCCGACAGCCAATGGTACGAACTTCTGCGGCGGTTCCCTCATCACACCAACGCACGTACTCACTGCTGCTCACTGTATGGCTGGGGATATTCAATACGTGTCGGTTGGCACACATTTTGTCAGCGGCACTGAAGACGGCGAGCAACTTAAGGTTGTAAAAAAGATACTTCATCCAAAGTACGTGAGTGAGACCAACTCGTACGACTTTTTGGTGCTTGAGCTCGAGAAAGCCAGCTCTTTTTCTCCCATTGCGCTCGCCAAGGCCGACGACTCGGACATCGCTGGTGGTGGCAACGTGACGGTCATGGGTTGGGGTGCTACTTCTCAAGGTGGCAACCTGTCGACCGAATTACTTCGTATCGACGTGCCCCTGGTAAACAATACCGCGTGTGCCAAGGTTCTTGACATTGACAACTCAATGCTGTGCGCTGGGGGGAGCTCGACATGGACGCGTGCCAGGGTGATTCGGGTGGCCCGCTCATTACGGAGCAGTCGAGTGAAGACGTGCTCATTGGTGTCGTGAGCTGGGGCGATGGGTGTGGACGTGCCGGATACCCTGGTGTTTACGCTCGAGTCTCCGTTGCGAAGGAGTGGTTGTCCAGTGTCGCCACCGGAATAATGTTCCGTTGATATCTCGATTTGAATAGCACTGAGTACAGAATAGACAAAGTATATATACCTTTTTTCGTCTACAAAACACGTCCCTATTCTCTTTGAGCTATTGCAACTCACGATACATACTGTAACTCTAGAAGAAATCCATATCTTTTGACCAGAGTGAACTATTCTTAAATTGCCCTTAGATATACCTCACTAAGTGTAGTTTTAACGTCTAGGGATGAATGTAGTATTCGAGGTAAATATAAGTATCAGCAGATAGAGGTTCAGGTTAAAGGTTTTAGTAACATGCACACGTCAGTGATCCCCCCCCGCGCCTCGCAACAACCCAAGAGACGAAGCCAAAGCGGCCCCCCCCCCCCCCCCGGGGGGGGGCCCCCCCCCCGGGGGCCCCGGAAAAGGGGGGGGGGGTCCCCTCCCGCGCGCGGGGGGGGGGGGGCGGGGGGGGGGGGGCGGGGGGGGGCCCCCCCCCCCCCCCCCCCCCGGGGGGGGGGGGGGGGCCCCGTCCCTCCCCCCCCCCTCCTTTTCTTTTCCCCCCCCCCCCCCGGGCCCCCCCCCCCGAAAGGCCCCCCCCCCCCCCCCGCCGGGGGGGGGGGGGGGGGGGGCGCCCGGCGTGGTTTCCCCCCCCGCCCCCCCCTCCCTCCCCCCCCCCCCCCCCCCCCCCCCCCCGCGGGGGGGGGGGGGGGGGGGAGGGGGGTCAAATTGACACTGTATAGGAGGGGACAGGAGCTGTAGAACAAAAAGGTTCAACAAGCTCAACTTCAACGTTAACGTCACACCGGTCCAGAAACAGTGACATTTCTACATGGGTGCAGCACTGTAGAGGGCAATGGTTTGGTGCAGTGATAGATGATGCAATATCCTGATACTCTCAAGAAAGCTGTAGCAAGAACGCTGAAAACTGACGCGTGAAGAACTTTGACTATTGAGCCTCTAGGGATAGAGGCCGGCAGGATTAAAAATGTATTCTTTACGCCCCTGAGCTGTCGCAGCAGACTCTCGAAATTGACTGCGCATTCATGATTGTTATGGCCGTGTTTGATATTGTTGTCATTTCCCGCACTGGTAAAGCCTCAATGCAGCAAAAAAGGGGTTGACTATCTAGCTCATTATGGAATTGGCGCCGCTCTAGATACAACAGATGAGTGCTTTCGGTATCACTGTCGCCTTGGGGTTGGCGTGAGCTAGGTGCAGATGCTTCTTGAGCTGCCACTGCCTCGAATTCTGTCGCGCATGATTCAATACTTGAAGGCTTTCGTCTTCTTGCTCCTTCTTGGTTCCTCTGTCAGTTCCATCTCTTGCTGGTGTGACTTTCGTCGTTTTGACTCGTTTCACTCGCTCTGCCACATACGTCGTGGTTTTCGAATAGTCCGCCAACACGTGGCGTGCGTGCTCCTGCTCTGGTGTACGCTATTGTCTGTAAGCTATGTATTTGCCTCTCTTTCGTACGTTGTGGACTCTGTTCCTTTCTGTTTGTAAATTTTTACTCTCGGCAGATACAGTCCGGTAACCTTGACACCATTAAGACCCTGTCCGCTGTCTCGATACCCGTTGCTTTTCTCGACAAAGCTGATGTCCGACATTAAATCTACCTATTTAAAACATTCCGCCGTCTTCACACTTCGGAACAAAACGCAAAAGGCCGTATCAGTTTCCATTGATTCGTAATCTCGTGCCACATCCAATAGCCATTCCAGTTTCTTCATCGACAGATTGACGTGATAACCCACATTCTGGCTTCCCTCTTTCTGTCACTATTGTCAATTAGAAATGCCATTTTTATCCGTTCATATGTCAAGAAAGCAAACTCCTGACGTTTCAAATTGACACTTTTGTTACTTTGTTTCTTCACAAATACATTTTTCACCCCCGCAATCTGAAACGAAGATGCACGCAGCTGTCGTGATTCAGCTATCATCAATACTGCAGCATCATTGCAGTATAGCTGTTTGAATAAAGTATGGCTTGAGTAGTCAAGAGCTCTCCGTCATCCTGGACGTATAAACCTCCCAAAACATTGTGGAGATTCGCGTGAGGAACCCGCTGGCAATCACGCGACGCTTGTAACTATCCATATCTTGACGTATGGATGATGACATATAACGATGCACCGAGAATTGGTCCCGTCGTGCTAGGAATTTCCATCTAGTCGGGAAGTGTTTAAACCTGCGGAAGCAGCACCCAAATTTTCTTGACTGCAGCGGTTGTATATAAACTGATAAGGGGTGCACGAAGTTTGCCATACTGTCCAATGCAAAAAGGAGGAAAGAAAAAGATCTGAGACCGTGCAAGGCGAAGGAAGTGCAGGTACAATCACATGGTTGCCCGATCCATTTAGTTTAATCACTATTGTTATATTTACATGCTTGCTACCTTTAACAATGTACCTACTGTAAACGACCTTTACTCGATCGAATCTCAGACCCCCCACATTAATTTGGTTAGGTTGTTGGCTCCTGTGGGTGGTGCTACGTCAAAAGTTTAGCTTCTGCCTTTATGGGCGAGTTGATGAAGGATTGTCAACTGCGTCCATGATAGCAAGGTATTCACGCACTTCAGCCGGTGACTTGCCAGCTTCTACCAATCTTGTAAGCACTTCTGCCCGCAGTTTTTGCCGATTCTCCTCATGTCGAGTAAGCAGTTCGGACTGCTTAAGTTTTAGTTCCTCCTGCTTCACCGCCAGTCGTTGGCTTTCTATGTTCAACGCGTGGTCATTAGTATTAGGTGTTGTCAACTCTTGTGATTTTTGCTCGCCACTTGCGACCTTTATCTTGACCTCGGTATTTGCCACCAAGAGGTCCTGCAAGACCGTCTCGTGCTTCTTTTTCGACACCAAAGAAGGCCTACTCTCTTTTACCTTCTGACCGAGACTCTCCAATCTGAATATATTTTGCACGTCTCCATTCGTTCCGAACAGAACGTCAACTCGTTGAAAAACCAATGGCAAGTTATGCGGACTTTGGCGCTTGGCCTTGCGGTAGGCCGCCATGAAACTTTCGAAGCGACTGCGCGCTGTCTTTTCCGACCAATCGGTTTGAGCGACCCGGTTCATGTGTTGAGCCAATGATCGATAGCCATCCATTTTTTTGACACGTTTAGGTGATAATGATGTGAAAGGTCGGCTTACTTTGCCGCTTATCGGTTTCATGAGCAGCTCAAAGTTGTTTGAAAGCTCCAACCATTCGACTAGACACTGACGCTGTGCCGCTGTCGTGTGCGAATACTTTCGCTTGCCACGTTGGAGTGACTTGATGGGTTCAGTATCGTGTCCGCTCGTGGTGTCGGACCACGGAGACGGTGGCGTCTGAAAGTGCCGGGCACTTGGTATTGAAGCCATCAGAAACTGACTTAATCTGCGTCGTGAAATGTAGAATCCATTAGAGTTATGACACTTTGAATTAGAAATAGGAAAGGTACGCTCGATACTTAAGTAAGGTCAATGCTTAGTTACATTATTCGTTTTTGGGAGGAGTAACCCCAAATGTTAATTATCCCCCCATTAACAAAGTTTTATGTTTTGATTGGACAGAAAAAGGAAAGTTTTAGTCACGTCTCGACCATTTTTAGACTTTTGTAAATTATATCCTTTTTCTTTTTTTGTAAATAGTCTCTAAATACTTGTGCTATGCTAAAATGTTATTTTTGCAAAGTCATTATTAACAATAATTGTTACTTCGACCGTGAAAATGAAGCACTCGACGTTGACTGCATATGTTCAGCAACTCCAGAAGCATTTACAATGGGATCCTCGTCAAGGTGAGGAAGGACACGAGAAGCAAGTGTTTGTCGAGGCTTTGACTGAGCTTGCTGCTCTACCATTGGACAGCATTAGTATGGAGATCCGTAGATTACTTGTAGCCCCTACTAGTGTAGCCATAACTCAGCAAAGTCTTTCAACTACAGTCAATACTCATGCAGTAGCAGCAAATGAGACAGGATCATTGCATATACACCATGTCATTGCAGCATTAAGTGCACGTGATGTGCTACTCAAGTGTAAAGCTGCGAATGCCGTGGGCTCCTTGTGTATTTCACGAGTTGCTGGCCAACAATTGTTGGATTTGTATGGAGATGACATACTAAAAAGTGTAGCCAAGATGGCGACACGGAAGAATCAGTGGGTGCAAGGAGATGCATTTTATGTGCTAGGATGGATCGTCGTCATTGCAGATAAAGCCATGTTGATATCTATTGCAGACCTGTTACCGACGGTGATTAAATGTTTACATCGGAATATAAAGTTGCCGTTGGAGACGGAAGATGAAGCTGATGATGACAAAGAAACGAGCGACATTGCGGCACGACGATCAAAAGTGGCATTGACATCGTCGGAACAAGCCTCGAATTTTCGAGTGTATGCACTTGTCCTGCTGTTGAATTTTAGTCAGCGACATATACATGTGTTCGAAAGTCATCTGGAGAGATTGCTGCCGATGTTAAAAGACTTGGTGGTGAAGCTACTTGAGTCTGTGCCGATAGATGACGAGTCTAGGACTGCATCAATGATGACGTTCTTTGATGCATCCGAGTACGCAGAAGTGCTGAGATTGACCGTCGCACTTTTAACGATACTTGCCGATGAGCTTGACAGTGCTCCTCTTCAACTTTTGGAGCTCAAGGCTCTACCTTTGATATTAAAACTCAAGCGGGTTCTCGACTCACCTCAAGTTCGCCAACTTGTTGACGAAACAGACAGCCAAGATATCGCAGAGAGACTCGAAGCTGTCGTTGAGACCCTCCTCAAGTGTAGATAACCTACCTCATAAATCCAGGAACTCGACATTTCAGCATGCTCAACTTTAGACATGCAGCTCGGCTATCTTTATATTCATTTGTTCGTCATTGACTCTAGTTGGAACATTGCCTGTCATTATGAAGCACAACCTAGTTGCCCAACGTCGATGTCACTCGCCATCGTGATAATGTTCCTCAAGCGTCCCAATGAGACGCAGGAAATGGTCCAGAAAATGCTTCACAAAACCACGGAAGAATCAGACTATTTGGACTTACGTGACCGCGGGTACGTACTGACGCCTACTTTTGGCCATATCCAAAAGTAGCTCACGCTGTCATGCTTGCGGAGAAGTCAGATAGAAGCGATGATACATGTGCCCTTGAGCCATCAGTTACGCTCGAAATGCTCGCAATATGGAAAACCGAAGCTCATGAGCTTGGAAAGGTCGAACTGATGAAGCAGTTGAATGTGGCTACTTATACTGTGTTAGAGTTGTGAGAATACTGCAACTACCTCTCTTACCAGGTTTCCACCGCAAGTATTTGCTTCATCACTCAACCATCCATTAATTTCAGCCTCGACACTTACTCTACCAGAACTACGACTACGCTTTTACGAACATAGTGTTCATGTGCCTGATCTCTCATACAATACCTCTGACAACCTCATTGAGGGACCAATTGAACACAGTAGGCAGCTTTCAACGTTTACAAGAAGGTCGGCAAGCCTATGGTGAAAATGGATGCAGACCAATTTACGCGTAAGCGTCGACATTAAGTCGGAGCAAAGACTCGGACTCAAGTGAACTTCATTCCTTTAGCACCGTTTTCGCAAATTCTACATCTGCACAGCCCACCTTGTGTTTGCGCCATACGACTACCATGCATGCGCTTTGGCAATGAACTGATTCCGCCCCCCCCCCCCCCGAATTCTCACGGCGAGAAAAAAATATGTTTATTGTGTGAGCTCTTACCCACAAAAGCTGTAAAGCAACCCGAGAATGTGTTCTGGTCCAAGCTTCCATTGCTTTTTCCAGCTCTAATATTTCCTTACCAGTACTATAGACGGCAGTTCGGGCCTCTACAAAAGTCTTTTCAATTTTTCTGACGCCTCCACTCACACTCATGGCATCTTTACGGCGCCTTAAACCCGGTAAGAAAATCCATCTATGCTTCTAGCGAGATGCATGGAAGTGCCATTCATACACTTTTTCAGTGTCAACAGATAGACTGGAACGTCTAATTTCTGCATTTTGACCAGCTGGAAGGTCCTGATCCTTTTGACCACCGAGTGAGACTTTGAGAGAATCTGAGAAGTAAGGTACAAACCGAGCATGTGGCATGTTGTCATGCGATTTTGTTTCCTCTATTCCGTCGAAGCATTCAGATGTCAAGTTCAAGTGCGTATGTGTAAGTAAAGCGTAGCACGAGTAGTTCACCGGCTGTCGAGGACTTGGTGTGGACCATGTCGCCTTATGGCTCTAAATTGCATCGTGGCAACAACAAAAATAGCACTTGTACGGTCCAGCCAATTGCTGTTGACGGGCAGCTATTTATGGTCATCACTACGGCTGGAAAGATGCTGAGGTAGGTGTCGAGTACGTCAGCCCAGGACAGCATATAAGTTGACGGCCGCCATCCGAAACTCTATCGAAACGGCCGCCTCGTAGACAGATTAGAACTCACTTTTCAATTTCCTCGTGCATTCACGTTGATCCGGGGTTTTACTTACCTCCATACTTTACACAACTACCATGTCACTGGAGCCTCTCTCAGTATATGCTGCTCGCACCACGGATGATCTGGAGCCACTTGACTCCGAGCTACTCATGTTGATTGCTGCTGATGATGCTGATACTTTTTTTCCAAAGGAGGTTGAGGTCTACAACAAGAAAATTGTCGACGACTTTGCACCTTTAAACCCTTTGTCAATACCGATGGCAGTGGACGCGTTCAACCCCGGTTTCTTACATCTGGAAGTGCTGGATCTTATGAATCTCCTTGCACCAGAGACTTTAAAAATGCCGACCTTTGTCCGAAGCTACTCGGAGCCGATCAAGAAGATAAGCAAGCGCAGTAAGAAGTGCACGTACGCTGCTCGAAGGGTTCGTACGAACATCCTCTGTACATGCAGTTTTCAATGATGAAGACGCTAACTTTAAAACTGTTGTTATATGAATACAGAGAGAGGTGGCATTTCTTCGCCAGGAGTCAGTAGTGCTTGAAATACGCCTGAATGAAATGCGCAAGAATCATTTTGTATCACCTCGAACACGTGAGCAGGCTGACCGTGAAACGTACAATCTGGCAAAGGCCAAGGAGGAAAACCAGCGCCTTCGTGCTTTGGTATCGAATCAAGAGGCCAAGATCCGTCAAGCTGACGCGTATATGGTCAGTGTCAACCACCCCCAGCAATCCGATTCAATGCTAGCACACCTCCTTACGAAGAAGGTGTGCCTTTTTGAACCGATCTAGCTGGAGTTTAGTTCGAGTGTAGTAGTCTGCCGAGTAATGTGCTTAATGTTTATAAGATTGTTGTTGATCCCCACGATTGGATTTCGTTGTTTGTTACTATGGATGACAATGACTTATGCTTCAAAAGACGGTCTACCTTAGACTTCGACGCTGTTGTCCCTGCGTACAGTAGTAAATCCTTTTAAATATCGCTTGATCTATTTGTGACAGGATCCGCCCAAATTTAAACAGCTTCGTGCCAACAGACTGCATGTAGACAAGACATGTGACAGAGGAAATTCGTTTATGCGAATGAAATCTCCTCGCCAGCGATTGCCTGAAATAATCGACGCTTAAATTACTCGAGCAGAATTTCCTAGATTTGCGGAAGACAAAACACACGGGATATAAATACATGTACAAGTACAGACAAACTGTTTTACACTTTGATTAGCTCAAAGGTCAACGCAACTTTTTGAGCACGTTTGTTACCGATCGCCTAATCTATCGATTTCTTTTCTCTGTGGACTCGTTCTTCGTTGCTAACATCTTGTGCTGTCAAACGTTGTCAAACGTGGCAATATCACCAAGCTCACATCAGTCATTTTCCTTACACTACGTACTCGCATCACTCGCAAAGAATATCATCTTATGGGCTGTAATCTGGTACGTCTTCAGAGGCAAGATTACCATATTGACTTGTGAGTGACTCACGCTTCAACAAACAAGCTAAGATAGTTGCAAACATTACAACACTTACCACGAAACCTCGCAGACGACATCTGCAACAGTAAAGACACATTTTGCAATACCGTTTTTGCAGAATTGTATGGCAATGAAGGTTCGCTTCCTTGGTCTCTGTATACCCTAGAATTTCCCTTTCCTCACCGTAAGACGACAATCGTGTTCGTAATTCCACTCGGCGGCGCAACAAAGCCTTACACTATATGTTTGTTCATTGCCAAAGCTTTATGTGCTGAATTTTAGAGCTGCTGCACATTTACAATTGCACTGCAGGAGGAACGCATGCAGTTCGAACACATTCAATCCCTTGAAAGGTCGTAAGCTTCTTCACCGGGATCTGAGCGCATCCGAGTCATTGTTGGAAAAAGTCGCACGCTATCACGCCACATAAAATAGAGAGAATAGTATAACAACGTATTCAGCTGCCACTTCATCCAAAAGGTATGTCCTTTCATGCAAAAGTGCTTCACTTGGCACTGGAGACAGGCTCAAAAGCAGTTTCTGCGATGACCAAGTTTAGTAGAGAGAGTCCAAAGCACCTTGACAGTACATTGTGGAGCAAGACATAGTCGTGTTGGATTTATTATGTTTGTGACTAGCACTGTTGCGAGAGTGTTACTTGTACATGTAAATCCAAAGTATGAGAAGACATACGTTATAAGTGCTTTTATGTAGCTGCATGAATGGATGGAGAAGTTGTATATGTAGACAATTCTGCGTGTGGAGGTTATGATGTAAATGCATCGTTGCAAGATTATGAGCAAGGTCAAGTGCCAAGTTTGAGTGAAGGTTTTATGATAAGAGGAATCCGATTAAGATTCAAACAAGGGTAATCTGCTGCTTCAGCGCCGAAAGAGATAATCGATTCGTAACTTGGTGCGCAGGGTTGTACACCAACGCGATGCACTCCATTTGTCTTTTTGCACTTGTTGCAGGTCGTCTCAGGCAAAAGTCGCATCACCGTTGTTCGATGTCATCATGCTCAATGGCGTGAGGTCGCAGAATTTGTTGCATTGCCACATATACTTTACCTCCTCGCACAGCAAAACAATGGTATATAACACATCAGCATCAGGTAAGCGCTTTGTATCTCGAATGGAATATGGCACGAGACGCATACCTAGTCTTTGGATTGAGTCATAATCGTTTCGGCTTACAACTTTTTCAGTTGTGCTGCAAAAATGAAGTACATTGAATAATTTACAACTCCAATAAACCATAGTCGTTGGGGCTTAGTAGCACTCGTAGTCAGCACTAAGTTCAGCAACTTGTCCTAATTTCAAAACACTGTATCAGCATTTGTAGTTAAGAAATTAGTGAGACGTCAAAGTGGAAGCAGATGCTCGAATTCGACAAATAAGCTGCAGCTGCACCTGGGCAGTATCATTATTGAAAGAGTCCATGAGCGACTTTAAGAGATCGTCTCGTTGTCGATACGCTCGACATACTCGCCGTAATCCAAATCATTGATTCCTTCGACTCGGGCTCGTCCAATGTATCCAGGTTCTCGCATAGGGTAGCAATAATGCTCTCGTACTGGTTTGGATACTTGCGGAAGATATCCTTGATCACAAAGATAGCCTCCTGTACGATGTAGTCGACCTTGGTCTGAATAAGCTCCAGCAGCACATTGATGCACTTCTCCGCAGCACGTTCAAGCTTAACAGCACATCGACCAATCGCACGTACCGAACGGCGCACAAATTCCACATCCACCTCAGTGGCGTATTCCTTGAACTCAAGCAGCACCTGTTCAATGTTTGCGCTCCCGAACAAGACGAATGATAATTTCCAGCTTCTCCATAGATCGTGTCGTTGTACTTGCAGAAGAACAGCTTCATCTCGTTCGTCAAGATTGCTGGACGTTTCTGCACAATCAGATTGATATTACGCAGAGCCACGTACTGGATCTCAGGCTCAGCTGACAGCAGCGTCACGAGCAGAGGAGCCATCTTACGCGACAGACTGCATTCCGTATCAGCTTCCGAGACTTTCTCGAGGAATGTCATCATGACCTTGACTGCCGAAAGCACTACGGCCGAGTTAGCATGCTGGAGACGTGACGTCACCCGTTCAATAATCCCTTCTGCCTCGCGAGAGTCCGCGGGCATATATCCTGCCAAAGCATCGAGCACAAAGACCTGTCCCCACTCATTGCACTCATTGAGTGCCGCCAATAGTTTTTGCAACACGGACTTGGTAATCTTGAAAGCCGTTACTCCTGCACTGTTCTCTGAGATTTCGGACAAAGCTGCAATGGCATTGGCCACTACCGTTGGATTTGAGTCTGAAATAAGGTCTCGTAACATATCGAAAAAGCCTTGTACCTCTACTCTATCCGAATTAATGTCATAGAGCTTGGAAACACAGATGGCCGCCGTCTTCCGTACGTACGGGTCTTCATCCTTCAAGAAACGACGTAGAGGTTCACACAGATACTCTATAATGCGGTCCACACGAATACAGCCCATGGTACGGACCGATAGCGTTCGAACAAGTGGATTAGAATCTGCCGCGTCTTTAACAAACGTATTCACGGCCAAAATCGTGAGGTATGGATTACTCTTTGCATAGCAAATCAAGTACAAATACACGAGCTTTTTCAGCTGTGTATCAGCCGTTTGGCTACAATCTACCATAATCATAAGGACCTTTTTGTCAACCATCACCTCCCTTCGAAATTCTGATTAGTTCCAAGTCAAAATAACATCCATCTCAGCCTTGCACCACCTCCGCAGTTTGCCTATGCTTCCCAGGAACAAGTAAGAGCCGCAATTAACGCCCATGCACAGCAGGAAGTTTAGTTTCTTGTAGTCAAACACACAAAAGGATCGGCAATAAAAAGACGTTGGTGTCAAAGCTTTATTCGTGTCGATGCTCAAGATAGTTCGTTTTAGATTGGCGGAAGACCAGCTTGCTTGAATGCTTAAAGATGCATACGTATAGGGCCTCTTTTAATGTGTAGGATTCTTCGGTGCTAGAGCGTAGTCGATTCGTGCCAGCAGATAGTATTTATGTGTTATGTAGTCTTTGAATATTTATTTACTGTATGACCACAACAGTATCCAATACTATCATTATGGTCACAATGCCCGAACGTGTCGTCATCAAGCACCAGCAGTAGTACCAGCTGCTGGAAGTGCAAGTTGCATTTCGTATCGACATCAGAGCTTCACCGACGCCAGGATACATGGATTGTTTAGGGGCTTACATATGCTTCTATGGATGTTATAGGTCTTAGATAGCTAGAGGCTCGGGTGATAAAATGACAAAGCCATTGACATGACCCCAACGGGGGCCGAAACGCGTCTGGCACGCGTTAGTATACGAGTCATATATCGTAACCTTATTCTTACTTTCTGACATCAGTGGTGTTTTTCTAAGATGAAAAAGGGTATAATATGTACTAAAAGTTGTATTTATGAAGACCGCTTTTGGACAACTGGAATAACAAAATACAGCTGACGATATGTTTTATGTCATTGCAAAAGGGAAATATTAATATACCATACACAGTCGTAGAAAATAAAAAAAGGAGGTCAGCACCTTTTGTGCTTAGCCACTGCACATCCCAAAATTATCTAAAGTCCATTTGATTAGTTAGTGCTAAAATGAAACATCTCATAAATTAAAACGTCACGGTTTCAGCTGTTGCTGGTGTGCAATGACTCCCTATGTCACTTTCATTCGGTTCACATGTTTTCTTCTACTGGCTGAGCTCAGCAACTTCCGATTCATTTTGTAGTTTGTCCTACAGTAACTACCTTGAAAGCCAATCATGCGAGCGTGCCACGTTCAATTACTCCTTGCAGCAGCCGCGATCACGCATGCTACCAAAGCCAAGACAACCACTTCCGTTGCTGTGAGTACGACTAATTCCACTACCGAGTCAAGCACTACTGCAGGTAGAGACAAAGGTGACGGGATGATGAATGTGAATGTTTTGGTAAACGAGGTTCTTGCCGAAGAGAAGACAACAGTTTTCGCCGCTGGGAGTCCGAAATCCTCCGAAGATTCAACCTATACTGCGGATAGAGACGACAGTGAAAGGGCGGGGAAATTTGGCGAGGGCTTTGGCGAAGGCCTCAGTGAAATGGTCGGAAAGCTAAAGGATGCAGTAATTCCCAAGATGGACAAACTCTTTACGAAAACAGAACCTAAGGAGTATCAAGCGCTTTTGAAACTGGCCGCGAAGCATTCTGGAGATCCAGCGTCAGCGATGGTTGTTTTGAAGAAGAAATATAATGATAAACGTATTGCAGAACTCATCGTTGATGCGAAGATGGACCCAACACATAACGGCGCCGCTTTGAAATTGGAGGAAGCACAAATGGAATATTGGCTGAACAATCATCTTTCTGCTGGTGGAGGGTTCGAGCTACTGGGACTGAATGAGGCTGAAGGTAACCTGCTTGCTCGTCCATTATTCCAATATTGGAGCACATACGTGGAAAGGTTCAATACGAAACATTCGGAAAAAGTGAGTGCCGTCGACATTTTGACGTCCAAGTATTACACCGATGCAGCCTTGGCGCGCCTAATAGTAGATGCGAAGAAGGATACGAAGAGCAAAAGCAACGCTGTAAAATTGGGGGAAGAGCAGCTAGACAATTGGCTGAGCAAGAAATATTCTGCTGATGAAGTGTTCAGGCTGCTGAAACTAGATAAAGTTGAGGATGGCCTGCTTACTCATCCAGTCTTCAATCATTGGTATACCTACTTTGAAAGGATCAATGTGGAACATAACACAAAGAAAAAGGTCGTCAGCTTCTTGGACGATAAGGCCTCGAACAAGGGATTTCTTCTCAAGAATTATTTGAAGGATGAGGCGGAAAAGGCGAACTTTGAAACAAAAAGCAGAGTTTATGAACTGTTCGTGGAGCTAAAACTGGAAAGGGTTGAGGATGGCCTTTTCTCTAATCCACTCTTCATTTTTTGGCGTACCTGCTTGCAAAAGTTTAGGGCAGCACATCCCGAAGAGCCCCAAACAAGTGTCTTTAACTATTTGCGAACCCTTTACGGTGACAAAGGCTTAGCCGATCTAATCAATGCTGAGCGACAGATCAAAAAATCCGCAAAATTTGCTATAATTGTGGAGAACGAGTTATGCGCAACGTGGGTGTCAAATGGAAAGTCATTAGACGACGTGTTCGAGCTTCTTGACCTCAACCGTGCAGGGTATAAGTTGTTGGAAGACCCTTCGATGAAGACATTTGTCACGTTTACGAAAACTGTCAATATGAACAGAAAAACACATACAGAGACGAAGGAGGCGGCTTTCGAGGCTAACGAGATCCTTCGAGGTATAAAATTTGCATCGGGTACAGGAGGGTTGCTGTCTACGGAATCGGAAAAAGCTCTCTTCCAATTGTGGTTTACTCAAGACAAAAAGCCAAACGAGGTCTTCAAGATGTTTTTAGGCAAAAAGAATCTGGACAAAATTCTGAAAGACGAGGGCAACCTGTTTGAGATCCCTCTTTTCGTCACTTACCTGAAGTACGCGGAGGCTTATTCCAGAACCAAAAGACTCGCGAGAGCTGAAGATTATACCAAGCCTGTAAAAGATCTTGAAAAAAGGCCGTGGAAAACTGACCCAACAACTATGGTTGATTACATAGATCGTAAGGCCGATGTGGCATTTCTGTTAGAAGGTCAATTCTACGACAAGATGGACAAATTAGGTGAAATGATTTTGTCCGCGAAAAAGTTGGAAAGTGAGTCCGCGAAGTATGCTGTTCAACGAGTGGAGAACGATATGTTTCGTTTCTGGAGCGTTAACGGTGGGGTGACGCCAGATAGTCTTTTTGCCTCTCTAAAGCTGAATGATAAGATGACGCCTGCAGAGCTGTTTGAAAATCCTATGTTTCGTTGGTGGATAGACTATATGGATTTCTTTGTCAAACAACTCAAGCCTACTGATCAGTCAGGTAATATCTTGATGGAAGTGTTCAAGCATCAAGCTAACCTTAAATGGCTCAAGCGTGCGCGAAAAAACGAGAATACGAGAGAGCTAGCTGACAAGGTGTGGACGGATCTAATCAGCCAGCATTTAACCCACGATTCCAGCCCGGAGAAAGTCTGGAAAAAACTGATGCTATCACCAAAATCATCTGACGACATGGTAGTTTTTGAAAGGTACCTGAAAGTCCACACTCAAAGACTAAAAGACGCTGAAAAGGAAATGCAAGTTCGAGATCGAGTGCGGACAGCGGAGGAAGAAGTAAAGCTAAAGGAATTGGAGCAAGAAATGAACAAAAAGACAGAGGATGACTAGAAAAGGCTGAAACTGCTACGGCTAAACGAGAAGCCAAAAGAAAAAGCGTGGCTGTGTACATACAAACGCTGCTTGTGTTCTTTTCACACCTCGTGTAGTTATTAAATAGATTTGTGAAACGCTGCATCTACATTTTTAAATTTTGAGCAGATAATGGTCGCTTTGCAGCTTGATCCAAGTGAACACGGCTGCATAAATGACGAAGACCACATAAAAACGGCCACTCCGCCGCCTTTATCGAAGATCTGTTGCCGCTGGCGCTGCAAGCTACGACCTACACCAAACATTTCTCAGACACCTCTGCAAGTTAGAATGGAAACAACATCTAAACTTACCTGCTTCAGCTGCTGGGTTCACCGAGCACCGCAACTACTTCCTTGCTCTATGGTAATATGTTTGACATGTCTCCTTCCTCCACCCTTTACAAATAACGAATCCTCGGCGAGCACCCTTGTATACCACCATGCAACAAACACCACAATATAGCACTGACCGACTGAAGATCAGATTTCATATAGGAACTTGTCATTCGCCTTGGGCTGAGATTCTTCGCTTATTATCAAGCCTTCACTTTGACTTGGCACTCAAAAATTAGACTTGTTTATAATCTTAGACCTCCATTTATAACAATGCATCTACATCATAACCTCCACACGCAGAATTGTCCACATATCCAACTGCTCCATCCAGTCATGCAGCTACATAAATCCACTAAGGACGCACGTCTTCTCATACTTCGGATTTACATGTACAAGTAATACCCTCGCAATAGTACTAGTCACCAACATAAATAATGCGACACGACTACGTCTTGCTCCACAATGCACTCTCAAAGTCATTCACAATTCGCCACGCATTTGGACTCGTAGTCCCCAGACTCACCGTCGCTACATCATCATTAAGTACCTATTCAATCACCATACATCAACCAAATAGTCCGAACAAACAATTAGTAGCCGCACCTTATGCCTTCACCACCACAACAAAACAATCACGACACGACTCCACGCTGTGACGCATCGACTGCGAGCTTCAACACACATGCCGCAAGCCACACGTATAACGATAAATCTGCCTTCATTTCCATTACTACAAGTCACAACGATCGAAATTGATCACAGTCGCAATCAAGACCACGACTCTATACAGCCATTCACTCCATCATACCAAGCCGTGCGCCTTTCACAATAAAAGCAGCACTGTACCATCAGCATGAACTTCAGCACTACACAAACTGAAAATTCGATAACCACCACAAATCGTCATCCTTCACAAATCCGCTTGCATGCAAGCAACCCCAAAGTCACAACGAGACGTTACTACTTACACCGACGACAAATAGGCGCTAAACGGTGAAAGTGATCTCCTTCGAGCTTGTCGAGCAGGTGCGAGTGCCTTCGACTGAAGATGTCTACATCTACGGTCTCTTTAGGACTTCCCCACATGAAGCATGGCCGATAAAAACGATCATGATTGTACGACCTAGACTCGAGCGTAGACACCAGGGTTTACACCCATTGCAAAACAGCTCACGACACCAATAACTTGACTTCTTTGTAATGAATGGACCATCAGAATCACCCTGATATACGCGTCCATGTCGAGCTTCCTTCTCGTACTTTGGACGACGTATCTCGTTGACAACCTTAAGTTGCTTACCGGTCGCTTACAAAATGTGGGCCAACGGTTTTGCGTGTCAGACATTACGTAACGCCATGTCAAAACGAACGACGTAAAAAGAAGTCGCTATTCATTTTATCATGAAGCTTTTTCCGACGCTAAGAGTAGACGATAACAAAGTGTGCTACTGCTTCTTCCTTCCCGTTACATCGGCAAAAGACGATTTTTTACAGATAGCAGAGCAGTACTGCAGTGCGTTCCAGTCATTTGCAGCAGAGCAGACCAAGGGTTTTCTATGGCACAAACACTACTTCCACCTCGACGTAACTCCGGTTAGCGATGGGCGTTATTATTTGTCCGGATGTTCAAGTGTTGGTGATGCTATCCAGGACGAATGGGTCGTGGCCAAATTAGTGTTTGACATAACAATCAAGTTTCCGGGTGTAGTCGGGCGTGTTGCTGACTCAGATGGAGAGTTTTTGCTTATTGAAAGTGCTGAAGCGTTACCAGATTGGGTCATACCTGAAGACAGCGAGCGTCGGGTATTTGTGCTGAATGGAAAACTACACATTGCATTGCCTCCAATGACCAGCAAAAAAGGCAAAGATGGAAGTTGGTACGATGAAGATGCATTGAAACAAGTGCTGGACACCAGTGTAAAAACCGAGGTCAGTGCTGCAGTGCAGCAATTGATTCAGCACAAACTGGATGAAGTACCGACCTATATGCGCGAGAACCGCCATCGAGTGACGTGTTTGCTTCCCGAGAGAGCAGCACATGTCATTGCAAAGAATGGAGAGCTAGTAGGTCCGGCGGTTGAAGCGTTCTACTACCGAGAACCGAAGCAGACTGGCCTCGTGTGTAGCAAGATGGCAACAATCATGCCAGAAGGAGATAAAGTAGTAGAACAGAGAGTCACATTCTCGAGAGCCATGTTTGCTCAGCTCAAGTACCAAGAATTCTTCCCACCAAAGCCCTTTCTTAGTCGTGATGCACGCTACCGTGTGTTAGAAAGATCGAGAGGATGGAGAGAACACCCTTTCTAATACACAGGCGGCGGACATTGGCGTTAAACTTGCCTGTGGTCTAGAGCTGTTATATGCTGGCGATCACAAAGACCAACTTGGACGACCCTGGAAAAAGAAAGTTGAGGAAGCGCTCCAACATAATAGCGCAAAGCTTTCGACGCAACCGACTGAGCCAGACGATAGTGATTCGTGGATGTACATGCACCCTGACACGCTGGAAACCCAACTGCAGCGTGCTGCTACGGCAGTGGATGCTTCCACTGCTGGTGGTGCTGACGAACTGCAGAGCATGGCCGACATGTTTGGCAAATTTGTGGATGGAGTTTCCGGCGTTGAAGGTGTAGAAGGTGTGAAGCTTGTCCAGTTCGACATGAGCTCCTTCATGACAATCTTGAACGGCCATGAAGCGAGGAGTAAGGGCGCTGCAGGCTTGGATGCACCATGGGGAGAGCACTACATGGACGAGGATGAAAGTGACAGTGACGTTGATTCAGTTCGGGATGGAAGCGACGATGGAGATCTTGCTTTGGGTGAAGCAATGGCTGAAATGGAGGCGGAATTGGCAGGAACCAAAGCTGCAAGAAGCTTCTCACCTTTCGAAAAACTGAAAAACAATGAGAAGGAGGTTGAGCCTTCGCTTCATACAGACGACATGACGGACGAGCAAGTCGGCTCTGTGCCCATTTCGTCAGCAAAACCACTAGACCTGGATTATAATTTGTTGTCCAACTTGCTGGAGTCATTTGCAGCTCAAGGGGGTCATGCTGGACCTGTTAGCACCATTCTGAATGAGATGAGCTTTTCTTAGAGAACACCGTAATCAAGCACGCAATCAGTTTGGCCATGCGGACAACAACTTCATATGTGGACATCACAAAACATGTTAAGACACAAACACTTCGTAGCTGTCTGCAGTTTTACGTGCCGATGTTCACAGACTCACACTTGTAAGTTCTGCGCTTACTCAGGCAATTTGTGGGGCGTTATGCGGCATTCCTGCAGCAGCCGCTCCTGATGGATGCACCACGAATTGCCACGCTTAAGCTTTCCGCTTCATCTTTCTGCCATTAGCGTAGTAGCTGTGTAGACAAAATATAGATGAGAAGAGAATGATACCAAAGCAAAGGCGTCGAACAGAATGATCACAAAACCACTTACTTGTGCTTCAAGCGCCTCTTTCTCCGACTACATCACTCAAATATTTCCTCCAGGGCTGACACTACACGCTGCGTTTCTAGCAACGTCTTTGGTGGTGGAAGTGTTGTGTTGTCACCCTTCATCAAGATACCTGGGAAGATCACATTATATTCCTGCCACATGTAAGCATCCAAGTGTATGATCCGTATCTGTCCTTATAGGGAATTCTAGCTCTCATAACTCATCAGTTGACCATGATGAAAGCGTACAAGGCTCTATCCTCGATATGTGGGGTCGTATAATGATTGGCACTGGGCGCGGCATGAAACATCCTCATAGCCATGATGCACCACATCGAGCAAAACCCCGAGAATATAAAAGAAAGGTACAATAGAGATATCGAGAACGCAACGTATCCCAGGAGCCTTTGACGAGAATTTGTCATTTCAGGGTTGGCTTCAGCGGTGCCCTGCGCGTCTCAAAAGCCGTGAATAGCTGAATTATTTGTGCGATAACTCGTGACATGCTGCAAAGCGAAAGTTTGATGGCCTGCATACGCTCATTTAGCGGCGATATCGCTGTCTTCGAGGCTGTGTTTGTGCATTTAAAGCTCGGTCTCACGTACCATGACCTTTTCGTGCAGCAAAGTCCTTTCAACCTTAAAACGAGCAAGGCGTCCTTATCCGCTGAGACGCAGCTTCTGGAGCAGATATAGTGCCTAGGTCTGCTCTTCGCTGTAAGATTGCATTAAGTTTTCTTGGATCATTCTCTACTGTTGCCGTGGAATCCGCATCCTTGTCAGTATTAGCAAAATAATAGCAAGTATATGGTTGATGCTGCAACAGGTGCAATAATGTGGTCTGAGTGCCAACATGCACTGCTGAAAGCTCCCCACTTCCTTTGCTGTCTTATATGTTAATCTATGCAAGTCGACGTCGCTTATGCTTCCTTACAGCTCCCGGCAATGTATCAGTAGCCCTGTGTTAGAGACACCCTGAATGTGAAAAACCACCTCCTGTTGTTGTATCTGCGCTATAGATCCTGTTTGGTTTGTACTATCGGATAAGACGCCGCTAGTAGCAATGGTAGCGGCGGCTCACTTAGCTGTCAGGCCGCAAGGGATTGCGTAGAAAAGGTTTTCGTGGTGAGGAGCTGACACGGGACATCGAAGCCGTAGAGCTTTGTAGCACCGACTGCGGCCGCACTGACTGAGAATTTGGCTACTGCGGTTGTTTTTGCAAAGAGTAAGCCGATTGTGGTGGCTCCTCAATTGGCAAAGTAGATTCTGAAGCATGCTCGCCGATTGGTTTGACTTTCTGCAGGTGAATCCGCAGTGACGATTGACGTATCTGAAGAGGTTGCTGTGATGCTGGACGCGTCATGCGAGCTGCAGCTTCACGTGTCGGCCAAACACCTTTTACAAAACCAGCAATTCCTTGTAAAGAGTATCACAAAACCATGTAGAGAGCATAACAAAAACCATGCTGTCCGCAGAATCATATATCGTACGAGTTACTGAATTTGATCGAGAAAAGCTTATGCTAGAAAAAGACGGGTGCATCAGTATAGTCTGATACGTACAGCACGCCGCCGCCCACCAAAAAGCACCGAATGGCACGATGTCACGAAATTGAGAGAATGGTTGATACGACATGACTGTCAGTATCTTAACGTTGCATGTACGCTCTGGGTTATCACATACTCGCGATATCCACGCATCGTATTTCCCTACGCTTCCAGCAACAGTTGTCGCGGCGCGCTGTAGGCCTTCAAGGCTGAACGATCCTTTGCACACAGGCGAAGGAGGTGCAGGTCTGGGGCCATTCGACGGCGGTGTCGAGCGGTAGGTCTCTTGCTTAGATCCCTTGGGTGTCTAGCTTGTCAACAGGCCCCACCCAGGTAAGTCACTTGTTTTTTTTGCGCCGTGGAACAAAGGATTACGGCAGCGCACCTAAGCGGAGATGCCGGGACTTCGGGTGTGGCGGCGTACATCGTGGCATCATGGCTAGGCGGCTTGGCTGGCGGCTAGGGGTGAGAGCGACAAGAGCGAGGTGTGTAGAGGGAGAGGATCATTCAAAATTGACCGATGTGGCGGAAGCATCGACCAGATGTCTAAGGTAGCATCGAGCTAGCTTCAGAGCCAAGTTCGAATGGCCCTAGACCTCTGGGGTCTTGGACCTCTGGGGTCTTGGGCATAGGCCTTTTAAGGCCTTGGACTTTTGGGGCTTAGGACATTTGGGGCGTTGAACCTTTGGGTCCCTAGACTTTTGGGGCCCTAGACGTTTGGGACCCTAGACTTTTGGGGCCCTGAACCTCTGGGTTTAATGCGTGTCATTATACTTATTATACAAAACCAAAGTTTTATTAACTTCGCTAGGAGAGGTCAGTAGAATTCGTTCTAAAAGGTTATTAACTTCGCTTTGGAGAGGTCGGGTGTGCTCTCCAATATCCGGAGCCCCAAGAGTATCGGAAAGTCTTGCGCGAGTGGGAATCGAGCCCGTGACCGCTGGGTCATCAGGTCGGTGCGTAACCGCTGCAACAGGAGGGGCCCTTGGCCCTGGACGTCTGGGTCCCTGGACCTCTGGGTCCCTGTGGAGCCCTGAACCTCTGGGGCCCTAGATCTCTGGGGCTCTGGATCCTTACGACCTTGGACATTGGGTACCTGGGTACCTGGGGCCCTAGAGCCTTGGGGCTATGGGCTTTGGAACCTTGGACTTGTACCGGCTATGCACTGTTGGTTCCTTGTACTCTCTTTGAACCTGAGGCCTTGTGAGACCTTGTGGACCTGCGAGGCCTTGCTGTTTTATTTCCCTCGAGGAAGTTGCCTGGAATTTTCTTGTCCCCTGTCCATATATTTTTGGTGCCCTGATTTTCCCTGGCATTTCTCCACAGCTGTCCCATGCGCGCTGGTCTTTCGAGCTGCGGCAAGATCCTGTGCACCCTTGTCCTGTCCCTTTGAAGTAGCAGTAAGTGTCCATGTGTCTGCTGGATCGTTGTGTTCACCAACTCACAGGCCTTTTATTCGCCAGTGACCTCTTGTAATCCTTCCAACGGGTCCCAAGCACCTGACCGTTGGCCTTTTCCCGCACATCCTGGACCTGATCTTGACGAGGTTGCTTCGACTGTGGACCTTATCGAGAAGCCCCCTGATTATTCGAAGGTTGCTTAAGCATGGAAAGTTGTACGGTGGAACAGGCCCAGTCCATGGAGGCTTGAGCTCAGGGTCCTCCAACGCACCTACCAGGCTGAACATCGCCGGACCGATGACTTACAACGCCGCGTGGATGACACCATGAAATTTGAGGGGGCCAATGCACCCCAGATATGGTACTGGATCAAGAATATGGTCTATGCACACGAGGTGAACCAGTAGTCTATCGCCGAGTACCGGGACGCACTCGCCAAACAGATGGACAACACCCGCGAAGTGGAAGAGTACCGGTCCTAGATTGAATTCTAGAAGGACCAGTACGACGAGGTCGTGAAGAGTTCCGCGTCCGAGATTAAGGAGCTGGAGACCGAGTTAGATGCACTTCACAGCTCCCAAGCACTGTCAAAACAAGTGTCGGTACTCCAGAGAAAGATGGCCAACTACAAGAGTCGTGTAAAAACCGTCCTCCGGGAACGGACAAGCTGCAGAAGCAGCTGACGGGTAACAGTGCAAAGACCCAAGGTTTAGAGCCCCAAGGTTTAGAGCCCCAAGGTTTGGAGCCCCAAGGTTTAGAGCCCCAAGGTTTGAAGCCCCAAGGTTTAGAGCCCCAAGGTTTAGAGCCCCAAGGTTTAGAGCCCCAAGGTTTAGAGCCCCAAGGTTTAGAGCCCCAAGGTTTAGAGCCCCAAGGTTTAGAGCCCCAAGGTTTAGAGCCCCAAGGTTTAGAGCCCCAAGGTTTAGAGCCCCAAGGTTTAGAGCCCCAAGGTTTAGAGCCCCAAGGTTTAGAGCCCCAAGGTTTAGAGCCCCAAGGTTTAGAGCCCCAAGGTTTAGAGCCTCAAGGTTTAGAGCTCCAAGGTTTAGAGCCCCAAGGTTTAGAGCCCCAAGGTTTAGAGCCTCAAGGTTTAGAGCCCCAAGGTTTAGAGCCCCAAGGTTTAGAGCCCCAAGGTTGAAGCCCCAAAAGCCCCAAGGTTGAAGCCCCAAGGTTTAGAGCCCCAAGGTCCAGGGCCCATATGAACCATTTGGATGTAAAATGACGTCAATTCACTACCCAAAGAGTAAGACGCTCCTAGTGGGTGGCAAGAAAGTCATGGCGTGATGAGACCACGCGGCGGGGAAGGAAAGAACGCTTTGTGGAGGCAAAAGAGTTTCTCAAACAAACAGATGCATCTAGAAATACCAGCTTGTAGAGATGAATGAGCTCGTCAGTATGCAATGTTGTGTTTACGTATGGCCACTTGCTTCACCTGCTTCAATAATTTCCAGGTACTTGTCAAAGGCAAACATGCCATCAGGTGTAAATTCCTTGCGTCGTGCAAGAATCTCATCCGCTGTCATCGTGAGAACTTCGTCAACTTCATCTTTCTGAAGTACCAAGGGGCCATCAAACGTGCAGTCAAAGAGTCCGCCCCACACACGACTGTGATTATCTCCATAGTAGAATGTCGTCAAGTAACGCAACGGTGTATTGTTGATACCCATCTCCTCTTCAGCTTCGCGCGCAGCACTCACATCCATTGGCTCGCCATATTGTACGACCCCGCCAGTTATTGGGTCCAGCATTCCCGGGCAATAGTCCTTACTTATCGTGCGACGCTGCACATAGTATTTGCCACTAGTCACAGAGAGAGTAAGATAATTGATGCCAAATGATCGTCTGCTGAAAGACAAACCTCGAGTTCTTGATGACAATGTAGGACGCGCGGTGTGGAAGGTTAAACATGCGCTGCAACATCATGTATTGAGTTAGTCAAGTATTTGCAAGAAAATGAGACTCCAATTTGTTGTCAAGTTACCATGACAGCACGGTCGGCCTTGCCAATCACATGATTGTCCTCGTCTACGATGCAAGCCTGTGTAGGACAAGAATACATACGAGGATTAGAGCAAGCAGTTATGGGGAGAGGGCGATGTGCTATCCAAGCGACCTCTTCCTTCGCACTCATCGCCATTTGTCTAGCGCTACTTTGTTTCGGATTTAGCACGAGTGCACATCACAAACGGCACCTGAATCACCTTTACCAATGGCTGCTGCTAACGGAAAAGCTTTTGATCAACTGTTACAACGGCCTGACATTGACTGCCCATTGTGAAAGTGGGTCGTTATGTTACCAGTCTTCGCAATGGGGTGCCGGAGATGCCATAGCTTTAGACAATATCTGTATACGGGCACAACAATTGGAGCAGTGACTTTATCAGGAGCTGCAGTCGAATTGAAGGCGGACAGACCAAGAACAAGGCAACGCTCCATAATATGTTTGAGCTGTTGGACACTATGCCCAAGTTGTTTATATGCCGCTACTAACAGCTTGAAGGCCAAAAAGCGCGTCAGTCGCTCCATCTCACTGAGTCCTACAGTATCAGTGTTCTGTTGAGTGACGACTTGACATCAACCTTGCTTTGTCTCTGGATGAGATGGAGCGATCAACTCGAGCAAGCGATACAGTGGAAACAACACCTCAGAAGTAAATCGCTTCGATCTGTAAATCGTACCATCCTTAGCTCCCTAGTCGTTTGCATCATTTAAGACTTATCTTCCACGACGTAGGAGAAACACAACGTGGAGATGCTTCAATTTGCCTTCTCCTTTTCACTTCCACGACCCCCATTCTTCCCAACAAATGTGTCCATGCCATTCAAACCTCCACCCAAGCGAACCACCACGTCATACAATCGTACAGGTAGTAGTCGTGAAATGGAAGGAGCCCAAGATAGCACAATCCGTCTCCACCCGGAAAAACACGACACTACTACCTCTTCGTCGCCGTTTCGCATGGCACGATAAATCGTGTCAGCAACTTCTGACTCGGAAAGCATAGGAATACAAAAGCGCGAGATCTTGAGCGCCCAATCGTTCGCAGCCAAAGCGCCCGCAAACATGCCAGTGTCCACTGCAGCAGGACAGATCAAAAGCGTTCGAATCGACTTGACGTTGTCGTGCCAAAGCTCCAAGCGCACTATCAAAGCATCGTATCACCTCAATACATTACTATCTCTCTACATTTCGTTGCGCAGTAATAACTCACCAGCTTCGTGGAAAGCATTCACCGCAGCTTTGCTCGCACAATAGTCGGTCAATCCTGCACTGCTCATCATTCCCATCACTGACGACACAGTCACAAGTAGTGCCTCTGGTGCTTTCTTCATCGACGATAGCGCCGTCTTTAGTGTCCAGAAATGTGCTAGTGTATTCACCGCAAACGTCTTTTGAATTTGCTCGGGCGTCAAGGCTTCAAGTGGACATCCCATCACCACACCTCATATTTGTTTGACACATACGTCAACAAGTCAGACCTTCACGAATGAGCATGTACCCTTGCCTCAAAATACCACAATCATTTACCTGCATTGTTCACTAAAACTTCAATGTGCTTTGGAGCTACATGAGCAACCACACGAGCCATACACGCACTCACAGCTCTAGTAACTCATCCATCATGTCAGTAGAGGGATTCTTCATTGATTTAAATCATGAGAAATATCACGCCCACCCATAGTCAGCAACGTCACATTCATACATAAGCACTTGTTTGTCTTCTTTATCGTGTTTAGACTGTAATAACTCTGTCTGGAGCTTCTCAAGAGCGTCCATATCAATATCCAATAGTGCTACCGTCACATTATCAGCCTCAGTAAAGATCTTTCGAGCTAAAGACCGTCCAATTCCATTCCCAGCACCCGTAATAACCACCACTTTATTGTCCAAGGAAAAGACCCTTCTTTGTACCACTCGAACAAGCACCCACAGGACGACGAGGGACGTCACTCCCATGACAAGCATCAGCCTGGGACAACAATGTCACTAATGAGTGTCACTATTCATTTCATCCAATCATATGATTTTTATTTGAGTATCAGCCAATTAGAAGCAAGATACGTTGCATTCATGCATTGACCCAATGCCGTGCACTATCAAGATGCGCCTTGTTGAGGCCCGTGATATGCCGGTGGTTGACCGGACTAGTAAACAAGTAGATGCGTATGTAAGTATCACATTTGCAAGCTTTGAAGCCAAATCGTCGGTATTTAAAAAGACATTGAACCCAAAATGGGACGAGGAATTCCGATTCGATGTGGCAGATGATTCGGTACTGCAGAGTCAACCAATTGAATTCAAACTCATGGACCACGACGTGTACACGACCGACGCGACGGTAGGAATTGTTTACGTGGATCTCAACTGTCTTTTAATGCGTGATGGACACGTGATTCAAGGCTGGTTCCCAGTCTATGACACACTACTTGGTGTTCGATGTGAACTGAGTTTAGTTATTCGTCTTCAGTACTTTGGAGATGTGAACCCGTTTCGAGAATCGTCAGCAGGTGTACAATTCTTTGGTCTATCGACGCTCGATCCGAGTTTGTACAGGATTGAGAGCATGCTGGGCTTTGTCGAAGAGCTTGTGGTGCACGCAGACCCCGAGTATTCATGGAGTGATAATTTCCGCACCTCTAGAAAAAGCAATGAACATCGACAATTACTTTTGTACAAGTTGTCATCACAAGTGGTGACGATGGTTGGTAAGAAGGCATTGGAGCTTGGAGGGAATGCGGTGTTGGCGTACAAGCAGTTTTTTGACGTGGAAGGAGATAGTGGTTTAGTAGCACGTGCGTGTGGCACTGCGTGCTATATCACGCCCGTGGAGAAGAACGAGTTGAGTTTTGAAGAAAGTGGTGGCAACCAACAACGGACACTCAGTGAGGACGGACATGATAACGAAATGAAGATTGACACCAGCAAAGACGAAATCTCGGCGGCGGGAGGCGACGATGTAGATGCTTTGGTGTCTCCGCGATATTTTCCACGGCGTGTGCTGAAGTCACGCAAGGCGCCTGAAGTGTTTAATATCTCCGCCCACGATGTGAGTTTTTATGTAATTGCTGCATTGATTCACTGGTCTTGCAACTCATGCTTGGGATTTGCGTGTTTTAGGAGGTGCAATTGATTACGCTCAAGGTGTTTCATCCTGCAACGAGAATTCGCCTGGCTGGAATCGTCAGCGCGCGTTCAGTGAAGTATCTAGGTAAGCTGGCAACGAATTTGGCTGATCAAGAAACGCGGGATTCGTGGTGGCTTGAGCTCCGTGAAGAGGTACGTCACTATTCGTAGTATTTTGAAGTGAAGCATCAAATGGACATGCATGTGCTATTGTAATTGGATACTTCGCTAACCCAAAAACTATTTGCAAGATCCGGGCTCATGCACAATCACTGCAGTGCCCATTCGTTATCGGCTACACTGAGTCATGTACCATTCACGATGACGTTTGCGTAATTTCGGCCTCGTACGTTTCCCTGATGTCTCCTCCCGAACAGGCGACTATGTATTACGCACAATTAAACGTTTCGCTTGTAATTTGATCAGAGGAACTGCTGCTGTCTTAAAAAATCCGCTTGAAGAGCGTCCTACTCGGCAAGATATGGTCACCAGCAATGATGTGGATGACGATGGCCCAGATGTGCACGCAGCAGCGTCACCGATGTTAAATCGCTCTATGCTGGAGTTTCCTACCTCGCTCAGTCACCGTAGCCCATCGTTCACGTTTACGGCACAATCCTCCGTCGCACCACCTCGAGCAAAGTCAAGGTTGATATATCACAAGAGCGTGTCTTACAAAGTTGGCTTTCGTTGCTAATGCTATACCATGATGTTGAGTAGGAGGAGCGGCGTATCTAAATCTCCCTGTCTTCTGTGCCACATTCCGTACTCGCGATCACTGGCACCATTTTCCAAGTAAGCTGAGACCAGGATGCTGCTGTTTTTTAGTTATTGCTTGTTATCTTACCATAGCTACGCAGTATGAGGATGGTCCGTTGTGGTGTATGCAGAAGTAAATGGGTTCCAGAGATGATGATCGCGTCCATCGAGCCTCCTACTGGTCTTGCCATGATGGGAAAAGGAACCTTTATTCAAGCTCGAGTTTGTCGTCAGCGCAGGAAAGGAACTGGTGACGTGAATGCAACGATCGTGTCCGACGCTTTACCATTTCTTGAATACGAGCTCTATCGGCAGGTAAGCTCTTGGAGCATCGTGATTTGCATTCTGCTGACATGGAAGCATAAACTAACGTATTGCCTTCTCTTTTAGCTTATTGTTAAGATGAAAGTTCTCGGCGTGAACGCGGTGTTTGCATTCGACTCTCAGATTCAAGTCGGCGGCTCACTTATAGTCGGTGTCATCACTGGAACTGGTCTTTATCTTCCTGCTCTCCCGCCTCCTCCAACGCTTCGAATCGAGCGAAACATTGATGTAGGTTTATGTGCTAATTGTTTCGTGTTGGTGGAAACTCCATTCTGACCCAAACACGATCAGGTAAAAGATGATGAAGATCGACGACTTGTTCAACTTCAGACACAAATTGAGGAACTCAGCACATTCAACACGGACAGGGTTCGTACTTTGTTCTGAAAAATGGTATCGCTCAATGACCTCGATCTAACTTATGTACGTTGTGTTGGTGTTTGCTCGATGTACGACAGCTCCATCGCGACCGCGTCAGCATTGTTCAGCCCGAGCACGAATACTGTACTGGAAGCAGAAACGCGCACAGCCAACTCCAGGCTAGCAATTCACTCCCTTCAGATCCAGGTAATGAAAACGGAAAAGGATTCGGGCGTTCGTTTCAGATGTCTCATTCCCGATTCTCAAGACAACCGCGGCGAAGACAGCTGCCACGGCCTCCGTCAGATGACGGATCTCATGCTCAAACAACCACAAATGCGGTCAGTGCAGCTTCTCCGGAGATCGTGGCAACGCTTGCAGCTGATGGCACTGGTGGCTCACGAACACCTTCGGCATCCCAGACCTCTCTTGATAATGATTCAAAAACACTGAGCTCATGTTCAGATTCAAGTTCAGAGTCGGAGGAAGAAGCGTTTGTCGATGGTTTCAGTGACTCAAAGGAGACGTTTGTTTTGGAGATTGACGATGAGACGGATGAAGACTTGATGTCGGTGTTGCTTGAGCAGGAATTGCCAGAGGTGAAAAAGTACTGGATACTTTGAGTGTGTGAACTTGTCAGTCTAATCAGTATGCTTCTGTTTGTGCTTGTAGGGCATCTATGTATGCAACACGGATCGTCTCCCTGGAGACTTCGTGCCCGGTGAGAATGTGCACTTAATAGTTTCCATGAAGAGAGTGGAATGGGACGAAGACCGTATGCGTGACACGCGACTAAATGAACTGCTATCGGTTGTATTTAAGGAAGTATTTGCAAGGTACGTACTCTATTGGTTGTGCATGCACATATCTCTAGTCGTAACGTCTTGCTCTTTTCAAACATCAGCCTTTTGTTCAAGGTGCGCTCGTATGCTCCCTGTGCTATATGTGGCTTGAAGACGAGAGTAGCAGTGGCTTCTGCAACTATGGTATGTGCTCAATTGGTTGACAGTACTTGCAGTCGATTCTGATAAAGCTCATTTGTTCGCAGCTCGAAGTGGTTCTGAGCGGTATGGTGGTTCTGGAGAAGAAATGGGAAGACCCGCTTGGTCATCTTTTGAACAATGCCGCAAAGGCGGTGGAAGTGGAAACATCTCAGCAAGCTGCTTCTCCGGACAAAGCCACGTCGTCGTCTTCAGCTGTGCACGATATTCTGCTTTGTGGCAAAACTCTGTCAAAAAAAATGCACACTCAAATGCCTCATACGATGGCATCAGGATCTGGTCGTAGTGCAACAGCTGTACCAGCTCCGTATGGCCGCGAATGGATTGAGCTCACGCCGCTTGGATACATCCCTGGTGCTCACGTAACGCGCTATCTTGGTCGTGTGACACTGCACTTTATCAAGGAAAGCTGGACGGTGCGTGAGAGTGGTGGCCTTGGTGCCTTTTATCACTTGTTCCTAAGCGAAGCAATTGCGATTGTCCGTGCGCACGTGCGTTCATTGGGTGGCAATGCCATGCTGACCTTCCGCCTCGTTCCCATCGAGTCCAGTCAGTTGTATCGCAATCAAGTGTACAACATGATTAGTATCACTGGTGACGTCGTTATGATTATGCGTCAAATGGACAATCACATCATCTATCCGATCAATCTCTGGGAATTTAATGCTGCTGCCCACACTGGAACAGATGAACGTCTTTGACGATATTTTTGCTAGTGTCACAATCAACAGGTAAAGTTTCGGCGTTTTTGCCATTTTTGTCCTTTTCGCTTTGGTTGCAATTATTGTTTAAACGTGTTTTTACGTCGGATTGATCTGCTTTTTTATAAGACCTTTTAATACCGGTATCCCGAAACATAGGACTTATTTTCTAAAACCGTATCAGAACTTCAGATTCTAAATTAACGCGGGAACGATTTTTGACCATATTGTCTTCTGCCGCCGACACTTATGGATTCCATGATCGTGACGACCGCGGACTTTAATGAAGACAAGTACAAACTATTGCAATTGAATCCTGAGATTGAGCAGGCCATTACTACTGGCAGCAAGTACGTCATTCATACGCAAACAATAGCAGATTTTTAGTACAGCATTGATACATTTAACTAAAAGTGTGATCTTTTGTCATGTACTACAGGGTCTTTATCGTCGGTGCGCGAGACACACGAGCAGTAATATGCACTGAAGACAAATCATACTTTATTAAGAAGGAGGATACATCGAACTTGCGGCTACTGACGACCCACACAGACTGGAGCGGATCAGAGGAGACGATGACTAAGAGGACGATTCAAGTATCAGGAGCTGCTCACTTCCACTATTTGGTAGAAGTTTCTTGGCTCTGTAAGAGCGTTGGAAGCAAAACGCTTTCTAACGTTGAGTGATACTGTATTGTGTGTAGCTTGAGCACAAGGTTCCCGATGTTACACAGCTTCGGGCTTTGCTGCTGGAATCTCCGTACGTAAAGCCTCGACATGATGCTACAGAGTCTCACGTGAAGCGTGTAAAGCTGCACAAGTTGTACACAACAGGGGATTTGGTTGGCATATTGCAAGTGAGTGAGCATGAGGTATTGACGATGCTGAAGGAGATACACGCCTTTGAAGAAGCGGGTGCATGGCGGCTGTTGGAACTGCAGTACCAGACACAGGTGTTTACAGATATGCTAGATACGATCGTTCAACATGATTGGGACGTGTTATCGAAGCCGGGGGTGCCTCTAAAGCAGTTTCTCACGGAGCTTGATGAACCGATGGTAGCGATCCGTCAGTGTTGCAAGCTGTATGGTTTGCTGACGCTAGTGAACGGAGAGGACCATTGCACGCTAAATCCGGCGAAAGTTGCTACCTTTCGGGCAAAGTCATTGTTTGATGAGCAAACAGAAGAAGCCAAGTTCCAGGCTCAGCACGAGCATGCAAAGCCCGCTGATGCTGGTTGGGAGCTAGACCAATTCATGGAGAAGTGGAAGCTCCGTGTGCCTGACAGCGTGACCGTCAGTTTAGAGATGCTCTGTGGTCTTGTACTCATCAAACCTCAGAGGGCAGGCAAGCCAACTCGGATCGTCTACTTTCCTGAAGAAGATTTGTCTCCGGACCCAAAGAAACGGTTCGAACAGCTTTTTAACATGCAGGAGAAGTGGACCATCAAGCAGCTAGAGCCGTATATCAAGTGCGTCCGTGTCGTGATGTGCATTCTATATGGCTACCATGATACTAACTTGATGATGTTATTTGCTATAGGTCGTTGGTTACGCCAAGCATAACACAAGCGTCATTGTTGCTCAAGCACACACGCTCGTCGCGTCAAGGTAGATCGACCGAAAAGCTGTACAGCAGACGATGATCTGATCAAAAAAGAACGAACGTGCGATGCAGAGCAATGCAGACATATCCTATGGACACTCTACACATTTGTTGTAAAGGTCTGTTAATCCTCTAGTGCTGGAGAGTCGTTATGGGATTTCGACTACACTCACTGCACATCAAAAGATTGAGCTTTTCTTGTTGGCTCGTACATGAAGGACAGAGTGACATCATTGCAGCGAACTGACAGTCACCGACCCAAACCGAAGCAAAGCCGTTTTTTCCATATAGTAAAGTAGTCGTGGGTCGAGCTACTGGATCATGCATGTTCATACTGTACATACAGTCGGTAGCTAGAGCTTCTCGTGACCACCGATTTTTTAGAAGGTTTTCGAATTGTTCAAGCAACATTCGTATAGATGGCTACACCTCGCAAAATGACTACAGCTATTATACATCGTTCAGTATACAGTACGTAGCTGTATATAATTTTGTTCGCTTCTGTGTATACCAACTCATCGTTTCGTGTCGTGTTTTAATCATGTCAATTGGATTCGTTTTTGCCTCTTAAAATTAATCTTTCTCAGCATGAAATCGCTAAGTCAGCAATAGCTTTTAAAGGCTTGAAACTAGATGGATCATTCACTCTTAAGCTGTGTCTCTAACCCATTGATCCAATCCCAGATCATTCCAGTGATCCACTTTCTCATCTCCAGTCCACATTGGTGGTTCACCTACATACAAAAATATACATCATGGATTATTATTGATATCTGTCCACGATCGACTCTATTTTCCATCATTACTGACCGTCACTTCCATTAAGATCAAGATCTAGAGCAGGAGATAGTTCAATTTCTACGAACCATCAAGGGAATCCCATTAACTTGTTAGTATACATATGACTACTAAAACTCCAAGTAATTTGTTAATTTCGATACAAACAATACCATCATCTGATAATGTATCGATAATCCACGCGTCGTCCACAATATCCAGATAATGCTTTCGTGGGAATAAACTCGGCAGTTTACTATCCTATCAACAAGAAATAGTACTCGTTATATATTAGCTCTTCATCCATCTATCTACACTATTCTCAGCAAAAGAACGGTTAAAGAATTCACGTTACCATATTTGCGTCAACCAATTACTCTTTTTCTCTAAAACAAAAGACCCTTTTCTTTTTCTCTAAACAAGACCCTTTTTGATTCGTCCAAACAAAAATCCGTTAGCTTAAATAGACATTATCCATTCTAATGGCAGAAGAACCTCGTAAACATCATGAAAAAGGTCCAAAAACTCGACCTTGTGGTCGTCCAACTGATTCTCTTGACGTTCAATTATCCAAAACATTGGCTTATGCTTTACGTCATGGAGCCAAAAAACTACAATTAGACATGAAACCATCAGGTTTTGTCCCATTGACTCAATTATTGGCCCTTCCCCTTTTCCAGTCATTTTCTGACCACCAAGTGGAAAAAGTGGTTCGAAATGATCCAAAAAAACGTTTTACACTCCTAAAAACCGATGAAACTCAAAGCGTTCAATACATTCGGGCCAATCAGGGTCATAGTTTGCCATTCGTCCAAGATACCGAGCTTTTAATTCCAATAAAAGGACCCAATTCGATGCCAAAATGTGTCCATGGGACGTATTTTAAATTTTGGGCTCGTATTTATAACGAGGGGTTATCAAAAATGCAACGAAATCATATTCATTTTGTTGAAAATGAGACAAAGGGGAGGGGTATACGGTCCACTTGCAATTTATTTGTATACATTGATGTACCCATGGCCATGAACGACGGGATCAAATTTTACAAATCGAGTAACAATGTCGTACTAAGTCCCGGTATGGGGAGTACGGGGATTATTGATAACAAATACTTTCTACGAGCTCTGAAAAGAGATGGCACGGTTGTATACGAGAGGGAGAGATAACGTGAAGAAACAAGAGAGAAAGAGAGAGAGAGAGAGAGAGGGGGGGGGGGGGGGGGGGGGGGGGGGGGGAGAGAGAGAGAGAGAGAGAGAGAGAGAGAGAGAGAGAGAGAGAGAGAGAGAGAGAGAGAGAGAGAGAGAGAGAAAAGTTTTTTTTCTTCTTGTTGATTGAGTTGTTTGATGTGGGAAAAAGTGCAGAATTGAGGTCGTTGTGGAACTCTGGGCTATTGTTTTGACGATTTTTTGTGTCTTGCAACGTCTTGGGGTTTGTGAGAAGCCAAGCTTGAATGGCTCAACAAGTGCAGTACTTGCTGGAATGGCAAGAATGATGTCGTCAGCAGAAGTTGTTTTGACTTGTGCAGTAGGCATTGCAGCTGTTTGTTCTACGGTCGATTCCTCGGGGCGATGGGTCGGTCAGCTTAAGATGTCGATTTGAGAGCGGGCAACTTTTTTTCGGATCTTCTCCTTGAGTTCATGTTCAAATCGAGACACGTCCCCGTGACATTTACACGAAAGCAGCATCCAGTTTGCAATGCCACAAGTCCATTGGCATTGCATATTAAGTTGGTGACGGCGTTGGGCAGCGAGATGTCGAATGGTATTATTTTCTCGTCGTCATAAGGCATGTTGCATTCGGCATGGGCTGACGATGCAACGAAAAACACGACGATAATGATAGGAGCCGATGCGCTTGGTCATGACGAGTTCTTGTTGTGACTTTGTTGGTTTAACACGCAAACGCGAGATAGAATCGAGGATCGCTAGTAGTGAATCTCATGGATCAACGGACAGTCGGTCGCGCTTTTGTAGGGGTGCGAGCAAGAGCTCAAGAAGATCTTGGACATTTACGACCTGATCGCCGTCGAGGTGTTTGGAAGCTGAGTAATGGTCGTTTTGATGACTTGAACAGGTCTAAAAGTGTTGATGTCGAGGAGTGTCTCTATCTCTTCATCGATCTACGACATTGTAATGTCTAAGCGTTGACAACTCCGTGACACCGCAGAGATCTCGGCGAGCGGCTCTCGGAGATGAAACCGCAGCATCTTGTCAAAGAGTCCGAAACGGACGAAAGGGTGCCAAGTGGAGGACTAACAGACTTAGCAGATCAAAAGCACTGTTCTCGTCGCTAGATTGTCTCGTCGCAGCGCCGTCAGATGGCTAGAGTGTATCATGCTTCCGTGCTAGATGGAAGAAGACGAGTTTATGAAGTTGATACTCACATGTTTACGGGCCACCGCTCAGTAGGTTGGGATGCTATAAAAACAATCAAATGTCATGTGCAAGTCCATCATGTATGACATCATCTCTGTCAACTACGTGCAAAGATGTTGCAAGTAGTTGACTACTGGCCACGACCACCACGGATGGTTTCGGAGCGATATATTTTGGTCGGAGCTTTCGTTTCAAAACCACTTTCAGCAACATGCGACGTGGCCGACTTGAAAGCTTTCTTCTGCACCCGAAGTATCGCACATAGTACTTACTGGTGACCGTGCCACTAAAATTGGCCTGAAGCTTCGTTACTACCAGTGAAACCTCCTTCCACTGTTTATTGAAGATTGTCTCCGTCTCACACACTCTCTCCATCTCATTACTGAGTGATTGGGGCTAGAGCAAGGTTCTCCATCTTTCCCGCATCCGATAGCAGCTCTAGGTCACATCAGCGAGTATACCTCACTTATCCAGCAATTTTGCCGTTTGTTTTGTTCATTTGCCTCTCCTCGATCGTCGGCACGCAAGCATGGGCAAACATGGTCGATCTGGACTGGTGATTCACGAGTACGGCTTCACCATAAACGGTGGTAGGTTCAACGTAGACTCAAAGTACCAGCCCATACGCGCAATTGGACAAGGTTCCTACGGGGTTGTGTGCTCCGTACGGAACACCGAGACAAATGAAAAGCTGGCCATCAAAAAGATCACGCCCATGGCTGACGACGAATGGGATGCTACCCATACACTTCGGGAGATTCGACTCCTACGCTGGCTCGGTATACATGAAAACGTAAGTATCCCAGCTTCATCTCTCCTTGTCGTTCATCTCCATGTCATGTGACACTTCCGTTTTGCTGTCACCAGATCGTTTCGCTGAAGGATCTAAGCATGTGCAAGGAGAAAGACGAGTTGTACGTGGTGATGGAGTTAGCGGACACGGACTTGCATCGTCTCATTCAGAGTTCGTGTCGTCTTACCGAAGGCCACATCCGAGTCATCATGTATCAAATTCTCTCAGGCGTCAAGGCGATGCACGACAATGGTATACTTCACCGTGACTTGAAACCAGGCAACCTTCTCCTCAACAAAGATTGCGAGTTAAAGATCACGGACTTTGGTCTTGCTCGTATGATGCCTAATAAGTCTCAATCGAGCCTCGAACAGAATTCGGATGATGAAATTTCCATGATGACAGAGTATGTGGTCACACGTTGGTATCGACCACCAGAGCTCATGCTGGCACCCAGTGGCAGCTACGATGGTGCTGTGGACATGTGGTCCGTAGGCTGCATTTTTGGAGAACTAGTCTCACGCAAACCTCTGTTCCCTGGAACCGACTTTATGGACCAGCTCAAAAGAGTCTTCCAGGTGCTTCCAGTTCCCGAGCCAGAAGATCGAGGCTACACCATTGAAAAAAGCGCTCTCAAATTCTTATCCTCACTACATCCGCCTGCACCTGGTGCTCTGGAAGACAAAGTAGGCGAGACAGCAGGTCCTCAGGCTCTGGATTTGCTACGGCAATTGTTGAGCTTCAATCCTAAGAAGCGAATCTCAGCAGATGACGCACTGGAACACCCGTTTTTTAAAGGCATTCGAGACGAGTGGGGCGAAATCACCCCATTGCACCTCCCCCACTCGCTTGAGCTCGCCTTTGAGACAGAGTCCTTACCACTCGCGACACTGAAGCAGTACATTTGTGATGAGGTACTCGCATTTGCTGATCCATCAACCAACCGTCAACCAGAGCCGCAACAACGCGAGCCCCAGGCTGCCAAAATAGAGAAAGCTAGAGCACCGAACGGACCGGCAGTAGACAGCAATGGTACACCCTTAGCATTGACAAATGACGGTCCTCCCGGCTCGGGCTTCACGCTCAATGAATACACTTTCAATGTGCCAGCGAAGTACAAACCGCTGCGAATACTCGGAGGAGGCTCTGACCGGATTGTGTGCGCCTCCACAGACACCGAGACGAAGAGGAACGTCGCAATCAAAAAGATCACACCAATGGCTGGTGATGAAGGGGTTGCTAAGGACACTCTGCGTGAAATTCGACTCATGCGGTACTTCAGCAAGCATCCCAACATCGCATCGTTGGAGAATTTGAGTACATGCATCAAGAAAGACGAGCTTTACTTAATGACGGACCTCGCAGACACTGATCTTCAGCGCCTCATTCGGAGCAAGACCAAGCTCGGAAAAGCACATATTGCGGCTATCATGTACCAACTTCTTTGCGGGACTCAAACATTGCACGAAAATGGCGTCTTGCACCGCAACCTGAAACCAGGTAATATCCTTGTGAGCAAAAACTGCGACGTCAAGATCACGGACTTTGGTCGTTCTTGTTACATTTCGCCTAACGACCGAGCATCACCAACATCAGTCCAAGAAGGACAGCAATCGCGACACACGGTCGATAAAACGCAGTCGCTGATGACCACTCGCTGGTATCGACCGCCAGAGATTATGCTGGCACCTACGGACACCTACAATAAAGCGGCGGATATGTGGTCGATTGGGTGCATCTTTGGCGAGCTGCTTAATCGTCGACCGATGTTTCCAGGAACAGATTTCGTTGATCAGCTGTCACGCGTTTTCAGAGTGCTATCCGTGCCACCGCGTAACAAGCTTGGCTATGAAGTCGAGGACGACGCGTTAACATTCCTTGAGACCTTGCCGCCTTGCTCACCGTCAACACTTGACAAACTGTTCCATCATGCCTCACCAGAAGCTGTAAATCTACTGCAACGACTGCTGTGTGTGAATCCTGCCCGCCGTATTTCGGCGAAAGAGGCTTTAGCACACCCGTACTTCACGACTATCAGGGCCCACCTTGGAGAACCTCCAGTCTTTTGCCTTGAAAAGATTTTTGACTTTGAGTTCGACGACCAGGAGTTCTCACTCACTCACCTGAAGACTCTTATTCAGAACGAAGTCAAGTTACTGCAAAACCATGATCTTTCATCACCGATTCCTGTCCATAAATCTAATGAAGATGCAGACCAACAACCTGAGGACTTCGACGACGACGACGACGACGACGATGATGATGACAGGAATGAGGACGTCCACGTGCAAAAAACTGACTCACCTGCGACCAAATGTGGTGTGAGACATGATCAGTGCGAGGAAGCAAAGCAAACGAAGGCGACGAGAGCTCGTTGGGACGTCTACGGGCCCACAGGACCGGAAAATGACTCGAAGGTTCACCAGACGTCATCTCTCCCCACCTTTACAACAGCCACTTTATGTTTGTTGACACGTTCCATGAAAAGTGACGCTTTACGAGGTCCTGAGCGTGTAAGTTCGCCCGTCATTGCTGCAACTGCTTCGTCACGTGCCGCCGACGATACTTTTACGAAACATAGTATCTAAACAGTTGTATACGGTACTAGCTTGTATACAAAATGTAGGTCAAAGTGTCTACTTACTCAATCTTCTCCATGTCATATGTAAGCCACACAATTAATATCCCTATTTCTATTTCTATAAGCAGCAACAAAATATCCACCCCGAAACGATAAAATCTTTTTTGAGGATGTCGACCTTGCACGATCTCGAGCTCGACAGTGCGTCCTATGTCGAGCTATTGCGTAAACTTATTGGTGTGTCCGAGAATGTCCAGAATGCGCCAAGTTTAGGTCTGATTCCGCAAGAAAATCTCGTATCGGATATTGTCCTGGCGGAGCTCGAGCCGTATACAAAGGCAAAGGGTGGATACTTAACGACCGAGCGGGTGGAATTTGTAAAGGGACGGGGAAATGTCATCATTACGTACGAATATCCGGATATTATCCAAAGTGACCGGACAATTGCGTTTGTCGGTGCCCATATGGATGTTGTACCTGCTAATCCTGAAGGGTGGGAGAGAGATCCATTTAGTCTCACTATTGAAGGGGATAAATTATACGGACGAGGGACGACGGATTGTTTGGGACATGTGGCTTTGATGACGGCTTTTTTCAAACAGCTGGCAAAACAGCTGGTTCCAGTAAAGTCCACAGTTGTATGCGTACTTATCGCCTCGGAGGAAAATTCAGAAATTTCAGGCATTGGAATTGAAACTTTGATGCAATCTGGCAAACTTGAATTTGTGAAAAAAGGACCGGTGTTTTGGATTGATTGTTCCGATAGTCAACCGTGTATTGGCACCGCTGGGGTGATTACGTGGACACTTAAAGCAACGGGCAAATTGTTTCATAGTGGATTACCCAATTTAGGTATCAATGGGATTGAATTGGGCATGGATGCACTTTGTAACATTCAGGAACGATTTTACAATGATTTTGGACCGTTGGAGATGGAAAAAGAGTACAATTACTCGTGTCCATCGACGATGAAACCTGTACGAATTACGTCGTCGACGAACGGACTGAATCAGATGTACGTGGTGTTTTACATTGTTGGTGACAAGAAGAGAGAAAAGACTGACGAATGTAATGGTATGATTGAGTAGTCCGCCATGGGTCGAAATCTCGGGTGAAGTGCGTCTGTCACCGTTTTACGACATGGAGGACGTACGACTGTTTGAGACTTGTTGATGTGGGTGATGACAAAATTTGGTGTTGATCTTGTTGTTGTTTGTTGTTGAGATAAGTTGATTGCCAAGGTGCAGTCGTATGTTGCTGATCTGAACGCCAACATCACGTCACTGGAAGGCAAGCGTGGACCAGTGTCCAAGTACAGTTTACCGGACGAGAACTGGAACGGCAAGCTGGAGATCACGTTCGACAAGCAGTACATGGAGGGTATTGCCTGTTCGCTTGACTCCGTTGGCTACAAGTACGTCATTCCGCTACTGACGAAATAGTAGATTGTTATTGTGGTCTTCTGAATCTTCTGCTTTTCGTGAACAGGTCGCTGTACGCCGCCGTTGCCGATGTGCTAGGTGAAGCCAAGCCGTTCTCCATTAGCGGAAGTCTACCACTTGTGCGCGACCTACAGCGTGCAGGGCTAGACTTGACACTGACGGGTTTCGGCAAGAGCTCCGTCTACCATGGCGACAACGAATACTGCCAGCTGAGCGACATGGAGAACGCCATCAAGATTCTGGCGCGCACGATCGCCAATGTCGAGGCCTCCACCACGTCGTAAAACTCCACACCCGAGCCATTCTTGTGGACGCATTCGTAACACGATGAAGCATTTTGCTGGTCTCGTCCATCGATATCGACAAGTTGAAGTGCCAAAAGACAACACATACAACTTTTCTGACGTTTGTGTGCATCGCTTCATTCGCATTAATTACTTTGTACAGTCCTCACCTGTATCTACGGAGAGGTTTCACACGCAGCCGCTGTCAATCTCCTTGTAACCGGCCTGAGGCGTCCCCGGAGTTTTCTTGTCTTTATCGTCACGGTCGGTATGGTCGACCCACGAGGCTGTAACTAGCGCGTGCACTTGCACTAAGGCGGTGAGCTGCCACGGGTGTCTCAAAGTCCATGCAGTTGTTCACGAGGAAGCGGATCTTGCGGTCGTAGTGGTGCACCATGTGGTCCTGCAGCGCGCGAGGCGTGACCCAAATACGGCGAAAATAGCTAGCGTCTCGCAGCGTATACTGCAGCTTCTGCTCGCCTAGAAACACCGTGCAGCCGCAGCGGCGTGCCATCTTTACGGTCTCAATGTGAACAATCTCACCGGGTACATCCACATCTTGCGTCGGGTCTTCCTGTGGAAGCGTAATCATGGTGGCGTTGCTCAGATTGCGAGAAGGACGATTCATGATGTTGTGACCAGACACCCCGATATCGGTAGGCGTGATCGAGCCATCGATAAACGAATTGGAGCTGATGAAAGAGTTCGAACTTGTCTCCATCGCTGTCGTTCCAGTAGTCATCGAACGTGCGTTTGTTGGCAAGGTGGGAAGTCTGTCAAAGACTCCATGGTTGGTTTGTTCTGGGCCCACAGCTGCCATCGGTTGCTGACGTTCTTCCTTCAAGTCTTTCAGTTTACCGTGTATACCGCACTTGACCTTGTACAGCGGTTCGTTTGCCACGGCGTCATAATGGACAGCCATCTCATCACGAAGCATAGCCATGTTCGAGATGGACAGTCGTGGCACAATGTCATCGCCATACACCGCGGTTGTCGCAAATGTTTTGGTCCAAGCCGCTGTCTCGGCGTCTAACAGCGGCGGTGTTGCGTACAGAAATGCCCTTGTGTCTGGAAATATCTTGCGTAGTAAGATTGCGAGAATGCAGCCAACGCCAGCACCCATCGAGTGCCCACAGACCACAATCTTCCAGTCCATTTCTTGGTCATCCATAGATCCTCTCACCGAGCAGTTCGCCATCGCAAAGTCCCAAAATATAGCCTTACGCGTGCCCTCCTGAAGGTCTTTAAAAATCTGGCGTGCAGTACAAAGCATGCCATAGTGCGTTCGCGTGTTAAAAGAGTACGGAACGTCATCTGGAAGTTCACTCGAATCCATACGTACAATGTGCGCTAATCCATCCGTCACAAAGTCGTAGAAAGACATACTGCCGCGCACACTAATGATAAGCTCTTTGCGCTGCTTGTCCCTGACAATGCAGTACGGCGCCTGGAACACGAAATTGCGACAGTTAAGATACACAAGGTCCGCTTCCTTGACACCAGTGTAATTGACAAAGCTGGCACGGTTACCATGCAGAAAGTTGTCGTGCTCAAAAACTTGGTCGTCTAAGGGTTTCTTGAAGCACCCAAAGATTCGAAACCAGTAGCACGGAGAGTACCACACGTAAATGGGCCACCCATAAATGCCAATAGCCATTCTACAATAGAATGCCAAGTCATTGAGCCGCTTTGCTTCCACATCAGAGGCAAAGTGTTCAACAGTCGGAATACCTTGAGCTGCGAGCTCTGCTTTTTTTTTCGTCTCATACTCTCTCTCTTTTTTCTGTACTTTGGACACGAGATCCAGACTGAATTTCAAGTCCGTAAAGCTCAATCCTTCGTACCGATTCGTCTTGTATCTCACCACAAAAAATTTGCCCAGTACTCGTCCTAATGATTCAAACACATCATCATCTCCTTCATGTGCCACTGTCTTATGACACGTAAAGATATGAAAACAACATAAACAACGTTTTTGCCAGCGTTTTTCCGCCTCGGCAGCATCATCTCCACTATGTACGCCACACATGTATGACGTGCATGCTCCAGCTCCAATAATCGAGACCGTAAAGATAAAATCAAAGTGTTGAAAGTAGCCAATGGAATCAGCACGATCTTGAATGTGTTTCCAATTAAGATCTCCACAAATACTCGTGTCGGTACGAAAAGCTGCTTCTCCATATATCGTCCATCCCAAATTAACCCAACAGCCCATAAATATAGTAAGAATGAGCCAGCCCTAATGTTAAAACCATGTTACAACAAAATGTTAAAACAAACACACCTCGAACAAAACATGACAACAACTTTAGAAACATTTCTTACTTCAGGCCGACGTTCATGATAAACTCGCGTTGAGAGCGTATAAATGACAGCCACAAGCATCATAAGAGCCAATATCAGATGCAAAAGAAAAGACATGTAGAGCCAGTGAAAGAGTTCCTTCAATCGATTGCAATTGTCATAACCTTCGATTGGTTTCGTAATCAATCCATACGCCATAAACATGGGCAAATGATGACAAAGGAGAAACACGACAAAGGGCGTCATGTATGCGCGTGGATTAAGTACGATTCGCTTTAAACTTGGTGGATTAAGAAAGCATGTACGTTTTGGTGTGCCTTCAATTGTGTCCATTAAAGTCAGTGAGTCAATTGCTACTACCATGGCTGAAGAATGGTCGTGTCTCTGACTACGAATGCAAGCACTTTTTTAGGAATGAAGCGATGTATTTTTGGATTACGTTCGTCTAGCGAAGGACAATGTGTGACCTCTGATTAGCGATATCAATATCGAAATGTATAGAAACGATAAGTGACCTCTAAAGTGGAATACATGAACGTAAACATTACGATTGTTGAAGTGTGCAGACTAAGTACATGTCGCTGATTACGATGATAACAATTTAGTACATAAAATCTTCCGAGTATTTGGAAAGAAAAAATATGCTACAAGAATCGAAGAAAAAATACATTCAGACGAAATAATTTATTGTTTAATATTTATTCCTTGCTTTTTTTATTAACAGCGTCTTTGTAAACAGTCTTTAAGACATGGACATGTATCCATTCAATCTCTTTAAATTTTAATCTTATATACTTCGGAGCGTATTCCTTTTTAAACGTCCTCTTTTTTCGCCACGGATTCGAGATATCCTGGACTCTCGTACGTAAAGTCCTTGAACGTGTCCGAATCTCGTCGTGATCGCATTCCTAATGCACCCAGACCGCGGCTACTAGGTGGACTTGCAACTGCAGTTTCTGCACTGGGCAGAGGAAGACGCGTAAACTCTGCCTCAAAATTCAATGGAGCCTCGCCGTCGTTCCTTGCCGAGTGACACGGTCGAAATGGTGGCGTCACTTGCTTCTTCAATAGTTTCGCCCAGTCAATACTTTCGAAAAAGAGGTGGGTCTTAACATCGTGGGCACCTTTCGAGCCAAGACGTTCGGCCGGGTTTCGATTCAACAACTGACGAATTAGCGCTTCGGCCCGTCGGGAAACGTACGGCGGAAAGTGCAGCCTTGCAGAACGTAGACGCTCAAAGAGCTTTTTGCGGTCATTCGTATACCATGGCGGCAGACCCGTGAGCATCTCATACAGTACCATACCCAAGTTCCACCAGTCCACCGCTGTTCCGTGTCCAAGGCGGTCGAGAATCTCTGGAGGAAGATACTCGGGCGTCCCACATAATGAATTTGTGCCATTCACTCCATCGCGGATACCTTCCTTCGCAAGTCCAAAGTCCGCCAGCTTTATATGTCCATCCTTAGTGAGCAGGATATTCTCAGGCTTGAGATCACGATATACAACTCCAAGTCCGTGCAAATGCTCGAGTGCCAACGTAATCTCAGCAGCGTAAAAACATGCCATGTGTTCCGGTAGCTTCTTCATGCGTGACAAGTGGTAGAACAGCTCGCCCCCAGGGCAATAATCCAGCACAAAGAATAGGCGCTCTGCTGTCTGGAATGCGTAGTGAAGCCCGACAATAAAAGGATGTCGTGTACATCCAAGCACGCGGCGCTCCGTGCGCGTGTGTTCTACCTGTTTCCGCTTCACAATATTCTCCTTTGACAAAATCTTCATCGCAAAAAGATTTTTTGTCGTTTTGTGGCCCACGAGCACGACCTTGCCAAACGAGCCACGACCAATCACTTGAATCATTTTGAAATGCTGAAGCGTTACGTTTTGCTTGCTGGCAGATAGCCTACCAATCTCATCGTCTCCGTCATCGGCAAGAGAAGCACCGAAGAATCTTGAGCGCTTCAGTGGCAGTCGGTCTAATAGAAGCGGAGGCTGATCAGCCTTGCTAGTCAAAAATTTGCGAACTTCCTCTACCAAATGAGGGTTTTTTGCTGACTGATCTACCCGGTCATAGTTCAGTAAGCAACATAGCCAGTCAGATAATTCGCTCTGTCGCTTTGCAATAAAATCTGGTTCAAATGAGCCCAGCAGTTTTTTAGGAGGCAACAACGGAACGCGCACTCCCATCGGACGCAAGCGATCATTTAGCTCCTTAAACTGCTGGTACCGGCGATAAATAACCCATGTCGCACCTGACTGTACACAACGCATTTCGATGGCGTACACAGTATAAAGTCGGTTCGACGCATCATATGCAAACCCATGACTTCCAATCTTGACAAACTCTGCACGCGCACCACTTGGAATCAGATACAGAGCCTGTGCCCTAGAATCTTCTTCTTCCCTTGCAATCATCTCATGATCTGCACAATATCCCGACACTCTCTCATGCGTCTCGGTACAGCCAGCAAAATTGCATTTTCCAGGTGGTCCAGTCGGCAGCTCATCACTCGGCGCATAAACCGCTGTCATGTTAGAGCTTCGAGCTCGCAATGAGCTGCCCGTGTTCATCAGTTTCGCATGTTCTGGCAAGTCATCTTCAATTTCAATATCTGCCGTCTCATCCGCCGTATACAGTGACAATAAGTATGACGACTTGGATCCTGCTGTCCCCTCTTCTTGTTCTTCCCTACAACAACAAAACCACGACAATCTTATCAGCCTACAATTCCTTCTTCCATCATTTTCTTCTCTCTTCACCTACTTTTCTTCATGTTGTGCTGCCACCGAATCAAGTGTAACCAGTGTAAATTGTTGGTCAATCTCTTCCACGCGATAACTTTCGCCCGTGTCCAAATCTTTCACTAAATACGACGGATTTTCCCACTCCATCAATTCTTTTTCCTTATCTAGGGATCGACATTGCATCTCGTTGTTATTGTCACAATAATCTTCCACATTAAACTCTTCATCTGCTTGTAACTCTTCCACATATGGGTTCATTCCCTCTACAAATTGTTGTCCAATCTGCTCCTGTAGCTCTGCTGCTGACAACTGCATCACGTCTATTTTGTCTCTTTCTTTACTTTCAATGACACTATCCACGTGGCTGTCACAAGAAGCTCCCGTGATATAATTCTCAGCGTCTACACTATCATCTTGATTGTCATGGGATATCTCTGCATCTAGGACATCTTTCGAACTCATTAAGTTTGGACAAGAAACTTTAACATTCTGAGCACAAGATACGCTACTTGAACGGTCTACGGACGTCCCCGCAGGCATCATCTTGAGACCTCAAAGAGGTCACCACTACCCTTTCGTTGGGCTTAATGTCGTGGACTGATCAAAATGGTGTACTGTACAAGTATTATGTGCACCACGTCATTATCACGTGATGTGGCTTACACTACAAAACCACATATACGTGACCTGCGTCCAGTCATATCATCCAAAAGCTACGATGGCCACCGCTGCAAAGAAGCTCGACGTGTTCTCGACCACAAGCGACTACTCTAAGACCTATGTATTTCATGAAGAAGACCATACACTCGGAAACGCTTTGCGTTACGTTTTAATGCGCAAGTATGTAACCTACAATCAAAAATGCCACTGACAAAACCATCGTAGTCATTGCTACATCTATCAGTGCTCGTTATGTTGTTACTCACTCTATTGTCTCTGATGATTGCGTGCAATTACAGCCCTGACGTGGATTTTTGCGGCTACACGATTCCGCACCCTTCAGAGCCTAAGATGCACATTCGTTTGCAGTCCCGTCAAGGTAAAATCAAAAAAACTGAATTGGAAGGTTCTTGGCTCACTAGAACTCTACTACTCACTCTTGTAGGTGCACCTGCAGATGAAGCGCTGCGTTCAGGTCTGACAGACCTTCGCAAAGTATCGACACAGATTGGAGACGCTTACCGGAAAGAGCTCAAAGCATTCAAGCGGAAGACTCGCAAGAATTAGACTCACCACAACGAAGCACATGCTCTGCTTTGCTTTGTACCCATTCAACAAACCTAGCTATATTCCTTTCATTGGTCGAAAGTCTTTATTCCGGTGCTTTAATTGGCTGAAAGTATCACGCCACATATCAGCAATTTCATTCCATAAACAATAATGACGTTCCTGCTTCGATCGCAGACCTTTAAGCCCCTTCTTCAGCGCCGCCTGTGTACCCACGCTCTCCCTACTCTCCTCACAGACACGGAACGTGTCGAAGCGCTGCAAAAAATTACCAGTGCCTGGAAAGTGGTGCCTAATCGCGATGCCATTTGTCGCAGTTTTGAGTTCCGCGATTTCAACGAGGCTTGGGGCTTTATGAACCGGACAGCGCTACTGGCTGAGCAAATGGGCCATCATCCAGAGTGGTTCAACGTATACAACCATGTAGACGTGACACTGAGCACCCATGACTGTGGCGGCCTCTCTAAGAATGTGAGCTGTAAAAAGACCTTTAACAAGCAGCATTTGGTCGTCCTCTTTTCTAACTTATTGACTGACTTCATTGTACTGGAATGATGTATTCACTAGGATATTGAGATGGCTATTGCTATGAATAGCTACGCCCAGACGGTGTAAATAATTTTTTGAGTTGGACGCATTCATAAAGCCATTGGACGAGCGAGACACAGAAAAAAGCAAAATATCTTTGTTACCTACTGAAGTATCGATCGACTCGTAATCAAATCCTGGCAACAAAGATCCATACAACTTTCTCTATCTCGACGATGAGATCATGTGTCGAAACTGTATACAATGTCCACAACAGGGGTCTTCACTGGATTCATCAGGATGGAGGTGGTGGGTGGACAAATCTATCAAAAGTGCCGCTAAAACCCTTTTCGAGGTCTATGCAATACTGAACCTTTATTGTAGCTACCATGGAGACCCATTCCTTCAGATGATTAGTTCGTATGCTAATTGCCAAACGATGAGATATCGTGGAGTATTATGTTAAGTGTTAGAAAGACGTCGTGGAAGTTTGGTTTCTCGAGCCGGGTCCTCGGGATTTCCACATGCTCTTTGTTATACTAGACACTGCCATCAAAGCTTGCATGTCTTGCGTGTACCAACAAATGTAAACTCGTGGAAGAAACCAAGTCAAGCATGCACTTCAGGAATACAAAAATAGCCTACATGTTCAACAAATATACCAATCAACAACGATCGATGATCAGCAAGTGGATGCCAAGGAACACACGGTAAATCGACACAGACGAGAGCATCGCAAAAGCAAAGGTAAATTATCTTGTTATAAACTACCAAAACGTCCGGATCTAGAACACCTTGGATTACAACTAGTCAATACTATTCAATAAGTATGCTAAACACCTCCCAATTATACACAATCACACATATCCATGTCAATAGAATGAGAATATATTAAACTTTACTTCCCTATTGTTGTATACTAAGAGCTTCCAAAAGTACCAACAAATGGAAGAAGTCGAGAAAGTAAACGTGCATTTCTTCTGCTCTACTGTATCGTTCACTTCACCTTTTTCATGTCTCGCGCCAATTCCTCTCGAAAAGCCTCACCAAACTCCTTGACCTTTGGCGCGTAAGTCTCGAACGAATTCTTGAGTACATCGGCGCTTGTGGAGGCCATCGTCTTGGCGTCCTCCATGTGGTAATGTGTCTTCAGTGCAAATCGCTGGAAGGCGCGCGAGTTGGACAGAGCCTTTACGGCCACATCGTTGATCACGTATGACACTAAACGCTGGAAGAAGGACATTTTATACGCACAATTTGGCAGAGCTTGCAACTTTTCGAATGGCCTCGAATTAGTGCGGGCCGGTCGAACATGTCGTGTGGTGCACGTAGAATACGTAACACAAGCTCAATCAAAACCTATGCTATAGACTGAACCGCTGCTTAAACATATATATAATATAGCACAGCAAGCATCAGCCATTTTCTAGAAACCTTTGCATTCGCATAAATCCGTTTCATGCATCTACGCAGTTCATTAATATGTTTTCTACCAATCGTGGCTGGACTTTCAAAATTCACCCCTCCGTTCGCTTGCCCTCCATCCTCCCCCACCCGCCTTACAGACCGCACATCCATCGCCATATACAGACAGACCTACACACACTTAAACAGCTCTGACATCCCCTGCTTATTATCATGATGCTAAAGAAATTGAGCTCTTCTGTAGCTCCGCGATGCATCCAAACCATTCAGGGTACGCTACTATCCTTTTTCCATCTATGTGTATACACAATCGCCACTCTGTAGTATACATTGTCATTCGTATAGCCTCAATACGTGGTGTATTCCCTGGAATCGAATAATGTGTAACCTCTTTATAACCTTTTATGTAACTTGTATCCAATCAGGTCGCGCTGCTTTCAGTACCAAAGCCATCGTAGACACATATGAGTCTCCTGATCACTACTTTGAAAAGGATCGTATTGATGCTGGAGACCCGTCGAAGCGTGCCTTTACGTACTTTATGTTGGGTGGTGCTCGAGTAGCCTACGCTACGGCTGCTCGTTTGGCCGTCGTCAAGTTTGTGGGCAGCATGAGTGCATCTGCTGATGTACTGGCACTGGCAACGGCCGAGTTTGATTTAAGCAACATCAACGAGGGCGCCACTGTGACGGTCAAGTGGCGTGGCAAGCCCATTTTTATTAAACATCGGACGGCCAAGGAAATTGACATTTGCAACCAAGTAAATGTCTCAAACCTGCGTGACCCTGAGACTGATGCCGTTCGTGTGCAGAAGCCTGAGTGGCTTGTAGTGCTTGGTGTGTGCACCCACTTGGGCTGCGTACCCACATCGAATGCCGGTGAATACGGCGGCTGGTTCTGTCCATGCCACGGTTCGCATTATGACCTTTCAGGACGTATCCGTAAGGGTCCCGCCCCACTAAATCTTGAGATTCCTCCGTACAAGTTTCTTGAGGAGAACAAGATTCTTTTGGGTTAACACAGGGGCATAGTAACTTGGGCTAAGGAAGACGACGCGAAAGAGAACGCGGCGAATTGAGACAGAATTTGAACAGCTATACAGGAGACACGAGCACAAGGGATGGACGCAGTGACAAAATACTAAAACATTTTGATCAACTGATGGAACTTTACTGATCGGCTACAGAATTGCAGGTGCGAGCAGCACTTTACCAATCGTATCGCTGATGCTTCACTACTTAAAAGTTTAAGAGATCTATCGTGCATTCGACGAGATGGTATTATGACACGATGCAATGAAGTTTAGAATGTTGGCAGGGTTTTTGGAACACTACATGTGACATCAGCGGATGCTTTTGCCATACGTGATCTGTTCTTATGGGGTTGGCGAATGCTTGTGAGAACAAGGTTAAAACGGCAGTCGCAGCGCCATCTTGAAACGCTATAGCATGTCAATGCAGGTATCACCAAACACCGTGTCTGTAGCCACGCGACTAGTTCATGATGCAAAATGACGCTAATGAGCACATGCAAGGCATCGGATAGAAAGTTTCTTCGAGGATCACTCGACGGCATACAATTCGGCCGCAGTGTTTACAGCTTTATCTTTCTGGCGTAATCTCGTAGTTGCTGCATGGCCTTGGCAAAGTACTTGGTATCTGCATGGTACTGCCAACGGGCGTTGAAGCCCATTTCAGCACGTTCTGTAGGCGTGGTGAGCTGAAGCACTTGTTTTATCACTTTGCAAACTTCCGAGCTCTCAAATGAAGCAACAAGGCCATCGCAGTCCTTTAATCCGTAACGTCCTCTGTACTTACCACCTAGCATCACCATCGGATGATTTCTACGTTGTACCGAAATCAGCATACCCGTCTCCTTTGCAGTGATCAACTCATTCATCGGTGGCAAGTCGGTCGTAACAATGACAGCTCCTGTAGCACGCGCCTGATTGATAATGTGACCGTAGCCTTCACTGTAGCTTGGGCTTACGACAAACGAAGCCTCAGCAACGACCTTGCTGTAATTTAAAGGCTTCAGCATGCCCAGATGGATGTTAACGGGGCTCAGACTGCGGGCAATCTTCAGTCTGGTCGAGGCTGAAAACAAACGGTTGAATGGTTCACGATCGATGTACGCGTCCAGCGGAGGCAATTTTGGATTGGACAACCAGCATTCCACCACCTCTCTTGTGCCTTTCGAGTGACTACTTCCAGCCGTATGAACGAATCTCACGTTTGAAAAATCCTTCAGGGCGACTGCGTATTCACCCAAGCGTTTACGAACAAACAACTCTGGACTTGAGGACGTGTGTTTTGTATAAAACACTTTTGCGTCACGCCGATTTCCGTATTGCTCAAACCATTTTGTCACTCGCTCGTAGCATTCGTGAGACTTGCACAAGACCGCATCCACTCGTAAGAAATGCATTGGCGTAATCTCCATTTTTTCAATATTCGGCATCATGTAGACTGGTTTGTCTTGTGGCCAACGAGGTGACTCGGTCAATCCACCCCAGTGGTGGTCAAGGAATAGCATGGGCGTCTTAGGGCAAAGGTCAAAATAATCTACTTCGCGTCCGAGATCAGGGTCGAGTACCTTTATCTCCAGCACCCATTCAGGAAGTAACCGAGACTCCAAATCTAATGATAGCGAATGCAAAACAGCACAATCAGTCTTACGATATCGATCATCACAATGCAAGAAAAAATGGACATACACTTTACATACGCCACAGCATCTTCGCAGTATCCATAGCTACGCGTGCCATGTGGTAAAAAGACATCAATGTCTGGACATTGACGAAGTTTCTGCAGCAGGTCCTTGTCACTTTTGTGCATCAATACGTGAGAATTATTAGCGGTTCCACCAACAAGTTGGTTTCCAGGCGAGCCAAATTGCCACGGTATCGATGCATTCGTGTCTTCTACGCAGACTTCAAACAGCAAGCTATGGTGTAGTAAGTCTTCATTCGAGACTGCTTCTTCAGCTGAAAGCCATTTGGTAAACCGATTGCGCCACGTCAACCCGATTGCCCCCGGAGGTCCAATAAGTGAAGTCATCTCCATTACCAGCGTAAATGCACCTATAGCCATGATCAGCGCAAGCAGGAGGACGCACGCCCAGTTCCTACGCCTGCGTGAAGGCTGCTTTTTCGTGAATCCGTTCATGAAAATGAAGTCAGCTAGTTATTTAACGTTCCTCCACGTGGAGCTGGTGATTTCAAATCCTCGCAAACCTTCTCGCAGTTGTTTAGCATGAACTGTCTGACTGGCTTGAGAGGATCTTGCACGACATGGACACGATTTCAAGTGCTGCTAAACCATAAAAAACATACAACGTCTTGGGCTAGCAGGCAGATACTGTCCTGGAACACCGGTGGCGTCTTTACCTACACGTTGCGAGTATAATCTTCACTTTGACTCGGCCGATCCAATTGCTAAAGTCCTGCTGCTCTGTGCTGAAAGTGAACGGCATAACGATAGCGGTTGAATTCTTTCAACAACAGTACGTCAAGATTACCAGTACGGAGTAGTTATTTAAGTCTCGTTGGACTGAGCAGCAACTGATTTAATTAGGTCCAACATCATGGCCTGTTGTTGCTGAATGGTAGCTAGTAACTGTGCGTGCTGCTTCTGTTGGACTTCCAATTGCGCTTGCTGCAGTCTTTCAAGCCGATGCACTTGCTCGTCTGTATGTCGTCTCTGCTTAGCAAGTTCGCGTTCCATCCGAATCTCCAGTAGCTCCAAACGTCGCTGGCCATTTCGATTCGCCTCTCCTGTTGCCTCTGCAACGGCGATAGCTGCAGCAGCTTCACCAACCTTTGCAACAGCAGCATCATGCTGCGTCACAGACGAAGATGGTGATGGTTCTCCTCTCATCTTGCGCAAATTTGCCTGAAACTCCTCAAAAGCTGTTTGTTGGACCTGCACCTCGACCAGCAGCTCACGCTTCCGTTCAAACTCTTTTGACGTTCCAGACTTTCGCAGTGCAGCAACATTCCCAGCACGAAAATGATCTAGCAACAATGCAATACGCGCTTGACAGGCACCTGCTGTCTTCTCCAAGTTAAAATTACTATGTTTGCGCAATTGTTCACAAACTTCTTGCCACCCGTCCATCATGTGTGGATATGCCCATGGTTTCGTGATATTAACTTGAGTCAGCAGTAGAATGTCATCAGCCGATACAAACTGCTTTCTACTTGGTGTTCTACCCGTGTCAGTACGAATATTTCCAACTGACGGTATCATGGCCAGGTCATTTTCAGTTTTATCGTCATGTTTACTATCTTCGTCTCTCCCACGCTTCATACCTACACAATTGCTCCCTAAACCCATAGTCTCCGTTAGTTGCTCTTTAACTGTACCAAGTCTTTGAGAACGATGCAATCCATGACGTTTCTTAAACCTCTGTACCCAACCTAAAGATACCGATTGATTAGATCCTCGAGTGCGATGGAGGATTTCATTGGCTTTTGTCCATAAAATCCCTTCACTAAGAATAGACAAATCATCCCGTAGCGACTCGTCAGTATGTTTCTCATTCTGTTTGGCTATAATGTATCCATATAATTCGGCTTCCATGTCTGGATATCGACCACTTTGAATGCGTTTGGCGGACGGATTGGCACAAACTTCTTCGGGTAGACTAGCAATTTTGCCAATAGTTGAGCGTCCAATCCATTTACTAAATTTGCCATGTACCCATTCACGAAGTTGTTCTTGGGTCAAGTCTGGACGTTCACGATGATATGCACGCACTTGGTTCTTCTCTTGAATGGTCAAATGATGACGAGCTATGGTCATGGCTCTTACGCTCTTGAAAAGAAAAATGCTCTGAAACTGGTGGGTAGAAATGACTTGATATTCGTAAGGAAAATGTTCTTGTGCTGCACATGTTGGTGAAATCGAAACAACCCTTTGAAAATCGATAATGTTAAACTGTAAGTCAAGTATAGTGGAGGTGAAAGGTTGCAACGGGTCTGCAGGTCCTGACTGATAATAAGTGGTCGTTTACAGGTATATGTATACTATAGACTCGCAAACACGAGTCAAATATGCAAGCTACTGCTAACAGAGCTGCAGTGTAATGAACCAACTTTGACGCAGGCCTCCTTTAGTATTGTGCCAAGTCGATAGTGGGTCGTCATTTCACTTTGTCTGGTACTTTTTCCAACGCTGATAAGCCAGAGCATTCCTTTAGACACTTTCGTGAGAACAGCACGCTCCAAAGGATTCTTGACAACGGTGAAGCATATCGAATAGCAACAGCTCTCAAACGCGATTGTGTCGATTCCTGCAACGTCATGTCAGTGCTTGAAACACCAAATAAGTGGAAGCCAACGCGATGATCACAGTGCACTGTTGCATCATACTATTGATTGTTTTACATCTTAACCATCACAATTAGTAGCATGAGCAAGTAGTGACCGGTTGATCGCTAAAAAAGAAGACTTCGAGCCTCGCAATGGCTGTGAAATCAACCATAGTGCTCGTGTTTTCTACGAATGCATAAGGTGGCGGAGAATTTATCAATAGGATCCAGCCTACCTTTTTTCGCTTACACCTTATTACTTAGTACTGAATCTTCACTTTTATTGAAATGTCAACATGAACCGCCATTGCTTCACCGGAACCATCGACACACGCCATTGTCACACATCTTCCATCACGAATATATCTCCATAGTGAAGCATGTGTTCTTCTTTCTCAGGACTGACCATGTTTATAAGATCGTCATCAGTCTCATTAACGCTTTTTGCGGTTGTAGTTATTGACGACTCGGATCCGTACTTGAACAGGGCCATCTTCTTCGCTGTATCGACCTGCTGCTTGTTGTTCCTAGACATGTCATTCGCCAGACAAGTGGATACTTCGAACGGCTCTCGGTAATCGAGTGACAGTTTAGAGTTCCAGAACTCGTCACCAAGTCTTGCTTTACACTGTGACGTGCTTATAGACTGCAGTTGTTCGGCATCTAGACCGTATGTTAAGGATTCTTCTGAATTGCCAGCTGTGCTGTAGCGGCGATGTGCTTCATGATGCTGTGGAATTGGCACAGGTGGAGAACATGGGAGGCAGCCGCCGTATTTTCCAGTAGTTGCGAGCCGCTGCTGGCGGTCAGTCCGATTAGGCGGCGTTGACGACTGACTGTCTTCTTCTGATGATGCTATCGTGGGCTGGGCCCTGTCCGCCTTAGCTGAGAACTCCATCTTTATAAGCTCTTGCTTTTCGAGCTGCACAGCTTGCTGTAGGTCCATCACGAGGCCGTGACTCAGACGACGCAGAGTATGTGGCATGGGCTGGTTGTCGCTGCAGTGGATGGGCAAGAGGTCCTTGGACATTTTTAATTGTGGTGGTGACCCACGCTGCAGAGGTTTGAAGAGATCCGATGCTTTGAAGAGCTACTGAGCTACTGATACTTCAATATGAAAAAGTATTCGCCTTTGTTTTGATGTGAGCTCTAGGCTGTCGATTCTTATCTAAGACGTTGGTGCTGTGCTCTCAATTATTCACGTGTACCGGAGCTCGACATAGTGAAACCAAATGCAATGCTGTGTTTCATGGACGGCCGGCCAAGGGTATGGAAGACTTCAACATCCAACAAGATCAAAAGATCAGTATGAGCTGAGGTTTGTTTGTCTCCGTTACTTGTGACAGCAGTGAATCAACGCATCAGAAAAAGTGGTACAAAGGGTGCTGGCCGCTATAGATAGATGCCAACTCGGGTTGCTTGGATCATGACGGCAGGATTTGACCTTTGCAGTTCCAAGCTACTATAAAAGGATACCCACGTGCTTCGTCGAAAAAGATTAGCATTGTATGCTTTCGAAAAGAAGAAGTAAACGTTCGGATTGCGTCAGATATTACTGCAGTCTCGTGCTCTCCAATTCCGGCATAGATCGGTCTACTCCGGCTTCTGCGCTATCTCAATGGCTACATCATGAGCCACCGCACGCACGCACATAACTGTTTAGTGGCCGGTGAGGTCGTGCCGCGTGTATGATCGTTCACCCAACACTTCGCAAGTACGTTACATTATCACCTTCGAACGTCTGCAGCAAATCCTAGGGAGCACAGTACCGTGGCCTGGTCATTAGATGGTTGCGCTCCAGCAAGAGGAGGTGCATACCCTTCTATCGGGCACCAGTGATGTTGCTCGCTTGGTAGATTGCTTTCATTTTTGTCCTCACCCACGCCATTTATCCAAAAGGCTGCCTGCCATCTTTACGGCCTAAGGCCATCAAATCTGGTCACGCGGACAGCAAGCTCCTTCATTGCTCTTACTACTGACGAACAGAAATGGGCTGCATACAAGAAGAAGAAGAACGAGATAGCCACGGAAACGCCGAGTTCCGACACCACCGGTTTCATTCGCTTCTTTGAAGCGGTTTCAACTAGAGGTAGCATTGTCGATGAACCATGACACCATCAGTTCAGTTCTAGCCACCTGCTTTCTCTAGCTGGTCATTGTTTACGCACTTACATGTACAACGTTACTGAGTCGCTCGATATGCAGTGATCGCAGTCAATTTAAAATAGCAAAACAAATTGAACGCTCTCTGGCCTGGAGCTGAAGAAACATGGTCGTTCAAACCGGCAAAAGAATTCAAACAAGTAGAACGCACAATAAACCACTATGCCTTCGATATCTACTGCTTATCGGTGGATTCACTGAGTAGCCCAAGGCGCTTTTCCGCGAGGAAGAGGCTGCCTGTGTCCTGTGGGCTGCTATGCAACTTGCCCCCGATGAGATAGTATGCTGATCAAGAGCCTAGTCCAGGAATGTGTAAAGCGTGTTCGCTCCGACCAAGCTCCAGTTTCCGATATGAAATTATTGTGCAAGCAGCCCACGTCTCGCATGTACTACCTCTTAATCATCGTTGCAGCATTTCCACCAGTCCTGGACGTTGGACCCAATGATTTGATGAGGTCAACCATCATGGCTTGCTGCTGCTGGATTGTAGCAATTGTGCATGCTGCTCCTGTTGAATCTGTTGCTGTTCACGATGCAGCTGCTCAAGCCGCATAACTTGTTCTTCGGAGTGACGCTTGTGTGCTGCCAGCTCCTAGTCCATCTTGCGCTCCATCAGCTCCAGACGACGCGGAGTTAGACACTGTGTTAACAGGTATCCCGGAGTCGGTCCAGAAAGGAGGCATTGCAGCTAATGATCTTAGAGATCAAAAAGATGGACCCGAAGGCGGTTTTGAGGTCAGGTGGAGCGACTGAGCACGAAGTAGCTGATAAAGTTGTTATAAGCTTTGACAGTAATGGGGCAAAGGCTTTCTTGTGTACACATGACGAGGCGTCGAGTATAGCACAGCTTGTAAATGCATGCCCACAAACGGATTAGGTGCCAGCTTTTCGGCATGAAAAAATCGTCTATCTTGTCTATCAGCTTAAAGGTACTGTATTTCACATGGCCGGCACCTTGCCGTGTTTCCAGCACACGCTGAAGGCGGTGTTTAGCACAAGATGATCTTGTATGTCATAACGAACACCGTCGATGCTGGGGATAAGGGCAAGGCGCACAGTATCGTCCACGTCGTTTACAGTGATCTTTGTAAGTGGCTGACCATATCGCAGTTATGTGTGGTCAAAGGGCCACTGAGCCTGTCGTCAAAGTTGAGCCAATGTATCCGCAATTTCTCGAAATACTTGTGGACCACGGTCCTCGAAAGGGGCATCGTGTCGGTGTCGTCGAGTGTGAAGCACCTTTAAAGTCTTCCATCTCATCGGAGAGCGCTGGGTGCATGCGCGTCTTTTCATGTTTGTAGACTTTCTTCCTAAGCGAAGTTCGCATCATGACTGACTGGATATGCCGCAAGATACGCGTAACTTATGCGCCGTCTTACAGGACATGCCCGATCGTGCGTAATACGAGAAGTGCAAGATGGTCTGTGCGACAAGGCAGGCGTTACGGATCATACGTTTGCTGGAAACTCGTTCGTGAATGTGGTCCGCGATGTTGTCGGTGTCCATGGCGCACAGGTCGGCAAGTTGTGGCGGCTACACTGTGTGCGAAGACCGAAAGCGTAGCCAGCGGTAGGAGCGGTGTGGTGCAATGAGCTATAGCAATGATGGGGATACGAAGAGGTAGGCGGAGTTAATGCATGCGTTTTGCCCTACAAAACTTTTCCAGCCCGAGTCAGCTATTGATACAAGCGGTATAATGATGTTGCATTCGAAAGCATCGAAAAAACTAGTGCGATACGATAATGGTTCAGATTTGTCTTGTCTAGGATGAAGATGTGGATTCAGCATTGCTCGCTTGTTAGGTGTACGCCGAGGATAAATAAAAGCATCCAGTTTATCGTGATGTGTTTCATGTGTTGGTACCGAATGAATATAGTTTTCATGATAGCATTCAGTTTGAAGTCGCTCCATACATATTTCAGAGATCCATGATTGACTTGTGCTATCTGATGACGATGGGATTATCGTTACCTGGCAACTCGAAGAGTTATGCGGGAGATGAGAATCTCCGAAGAAGCTCATATCTTTGACGATCACCAACACATTCCTGTATACGACTATTATCCATGTGTTCTTCTAGATGTTGGCCAAAAACGATTTCACGCTTCGAGGCGACGTGTTGAGTGCTCAGAGTAGGTCATGTCTGCGGCGTAAGCCCACGTTGAGCAATGCGATTCTCAATCAAAGACATTTATACGACTGATAAGAAATTTTGTTTGAGTAAATATACGAATGGGGAAATTTTTCATCTCGTCTCGTGATAAGAAGGATGTAGACACGCGATGGAAGAAGAGAAATTTGAGTTGTCAAATAATAGCAAACACAAATCTTATACGATAAAGATGAAGTCAACACCTTCGGATTTGGTTTCGACACCACTCGGTTTTCACTCCTTCGTCACTTTTTCGATTGATGGAAGAGTAATTATACACCAAATCGCAGTTAGCGTTCGGAGAAACTTTCAATTACAAGAGACACTTTGCCGCAGAAGTAGCTCGCTGATACTGTGCTGCGGCTGGCAACGTAGATTGAGGAGTATGCGCGCGCGACTTAGAAGAGGAATAGCAAGTCAATGACAGTAGTTGGCGATCAGATGTCTGTGGCGAAAGATCGTCAAGAGACGGCTGCTTGTACTGGAGTACCGGATCTTGTGAAGGATCGTGAGCAAATATCTCAGCGTCGTCTGGAGCTGATGGAGCGCAAGATAGAACGGGAGTTGGCAGCACAGAAGCGTCACTCCGTAGAGCAAGTTATGCGGCTTGAGCAGTTGCATCGTGAACAGCAACAGATTCAACAGAAGCAGCATGCACAATTACTTGCTACAATCCAGCAGCAGCAAGCCATGATGTTTGACCTCATCAAATCATTGGGTCCAACGTCCAGGACTGGTGGAAATGCTGCAACGATGATTAAGAGGTAGTACATGCGAGACATTAGGCTGCTTGCACATTGCTACGTGTCAGATACAAACCTATATATTTTTTCATGAATGCACTAAGCGAATGAATTATGAGCTGGTACGATTATTCAAAAACTAAAGGTCTGAAAAGTATTCTAGATGCCAAGGTGTTGCAATCTCGCTTGATTGCAGTCTCTCTAGCGTCCAGCTATGCTAGATATATAGATAGATATATCTCTTGACACTCAAAGATATATATTACTTAGCTTAGCTCTTTCTGGCTACTGACGACTTGCCTTGCACTTTGCACTTTTCTGACTGAGCTTTCGAGCTTTCATGTATGCGGCTGCATCAGTCGCTAATACCACATCGTCGACGTATAACATGAGAAGAGCCAGTACTGCATGTTTGCAGTAGAAGTAAAGACAAGGCTCAGTCTCACTACGTTTGAACTCTTGATCATATCACAACACAAGGTCCTGTTAAGTTATCACGGATTGCGCCATGCAGATTTTGCTGAGCAACACATCATTTTTATTGGCTAGCGACGTTACACCTTTGACAAACAACATTCCATCTCGAAAAGATTCTTTTGTATCAGATGGATACGTTTGTTTGCAATATACGAAGAAGACTCTGTAACGTATATAGAGCCAAAAAATGGTTGTCAATGGAAATGCCTATCTCATGATTGAATATATGTGCATCAATGCGTTTCATCTAAGTTGAACCATATAAGCATAACGAATATTATGCAAACGCTCTATGGTGGTGCTCAATTGTGATATGCAGAAACTTTGATACAAGTTGAGATTGTAGAAGCAGGTACAATCATCCCTAAAGGACTTTTAGCGGACCTCATAGCGCGAGGAGTGAGCCTATAATCTCACCATTCAAAGCTTGGCATGTTCGATTGTCGAATTTACACTGCTTGTTTTGGCCTTCTCACTTCGCAATCATCGTCCGATAGCAAAAGTGTATACGGTAGAGCAGAGGCTCGACTTGTCACATTCCTACGATGCGATTGTACTCTATCGCACTAGTTGCTGCTGCTGCACTGTATACAAGCACTGATGGGCTTCCGGTTGTCACAGCTCAGCCCTGAGAGGAACCACCGACGACAAGAAAGAGCCTTACATCGAAGGCAAGACAGACCGATTCCTCATTGCCGAATCCGCAACTGCGTTAACCTCCAAGACCGAGCAGGATGTAAACACGCTCGATGAAGATGAGGAAGAAAGGAGCTTTAGCTTGTTTAATCAATCTAAAAAGAAGAAGAAGAAGAAGAAAAAAATGAAGAAGAAGAAAGGTTCTTCATCATCAAACGACTCTGGCTCCGGCTCCGATAATCCTCGTTGACATCGTTACCGTCAATTATTCGATTGACGACAGAGTTCAAGCTGGCATCGTTCTAGGCTAGCTGCTTTCTCTTGCATTAACATGATAAATACACTTTTTGACCTGCTCAACATTGTAATGGTGACGCTAAATACCCATCAAGTCTTTGAAATTTGTGAACTTGCTGGTGTTTAATGTAATGGAGTAGATCGCATGATACATCACTCGATTGCAATTCCATCCACGAATGTTTTTTTTGACAGGAAGGCAAACGTCGCTTGATACCTGCCGCTAAAAATACCGTGTAGTTCAGTAAACAACTGCATGGTGCATTCCGCATCAAGTTGTCAAGTACTTGACTTCTAGAATGATTTCTTGGCTTTCAGTTGAGACAAATTGTAGCAGTTTTCGAATCATTCGCTTTTACCGCGAAAGCGAATTTGTACTTGTCAGCCATTTTAGCTATGTTTAAGACTAGATGGTCTTTGTATCCTGTCCTGACGCGAAAGAATATACACTTAGTCTAAAACTGGAATCCTTGATACTTCAATTCAATGTCACGTACAATAACTCTGTTCAACGCCGAATATGCATTGTAGAAGATATCGACACCTTGTCGCACCCCGTTGAAACCTTGTCAATAGAAACACATCATAACTTAAACAGCCTTCACCAATTATTCACGTCGCCGTGCGTCAGCTCCAATTTACGTCAGCTGAAGCCATCTCGCAGGAGGCGTCGATGAACCTCCCAGTACTGAACGGGTCAGGGAATCGAATGCGCGATGCGTGCAAATACAGTCGATCGGCAGGACGCCCACCGTACTTGGCGTCCCCGACAATCGGTGTATCTAGCACTTGTGCGCAGTGCACTCGGAGCTGGTGCTTGCGTCCGGTACGAGGCTGGAGCTGCAGCCATGTCCCGATAGGCTCTGTCTGATCACTTTGCCGCAGTACTCGCCTCACAAACGTGCACGCCGACTTGCCGTCCACCGGGAGCTTGATCTCCCGTCCCTCAAACTTCTTCAAGCTCGTATAGCTGTTATCTGCAAATGAGGATGGTGCTACCAGCGCTTGATACGTCTTGTGCACATCACCATTTTGCAGCAGCTTCGAGAACTTCGCGGCCGCGAGTCTGGAGCGCGCCAACACCAGTACCCCCGACGTGTCCATATCGAGTCGATGCACTAACTTCAGCGTCCGATGCTCATCCGCATTGTGTTGTGACTGATAGTGCCTGCCTGTTAACGATGCTGCAATGGACGGCAAGTACCGATCCAACGACTCTTTCAACCCCGAGCCGCCCTATAGCATAATGACAATACAAAGGTCAATCTTTCTCTTTCTGTCTAGTAATAGAAATGACGAGCGATTGCTTTCTAGCATGTATCAAACCTGCACTGCAAGTCCGTAAGGCTTATTTAGTATCACAAATTGCTTGTCCTGATACAAAAGACGCTGTTTCAAGTGCCTCACTTTCGTCTTGTCTTCCATCGTCATCAGTGTTTCTTCCTGTCTCGTCACTTGCTGTTCCTTCTGTGCAACTGATTCCATCTTGGATCGAAACAAATGTACATCAATGGACACGACCGAGTCTTCAAATAGCAGCGAATTGGCTCGAGATTTTTGGTCACTTGATGAAGAAAATTGCAGTCGGATTTTGCGTTTACGTAGCTGCGTCTGCAGAAAACTCTGTGATAGCGACGGAAACTGGTACCGTAAACATCGGTCTAGACGAAGCTCCCGGTCCTTCGCGTGTACCACGTGCCGCATCCAACGGACCTCTTGTTGCCACATGATCAAGTGTGACTCAGACCACAGTTGGGATTGTGTGATGGCTACATTCTAGCACACTTGAATGACAGCGACAGTTACATAGCACTTTTGTACGTTTGTCCGTTTGTACGTGCTTTGTTTAGCGCTAGAGCCTTTTCTTTCTTATCAAGTCTAGACAACAGCATAACGGCAGCTTTGTGTCGATGCCGGTATGTCGTCTCGTAGTCGTCATCACTTGACTATCAGCGACAAGAACCGACTACGGCGCTACCATAAGCAGCACCCAGAGTTGACACAGGAAGAGCTGCGTGAATGGGCATATACGACGTTTGGTCAATGGATCGCACGCTCCACTGTGGGCCACATCGTACGCGCTCCCGAGGAGGTGAGTGCCAACCCGGAGGCCACACGCTTCCAGAGCGGTCGTTATCCAGACATGGAGCAGGAGTTATACGCACTTATTGAGGCACGTTGGCGTCAATTGGGTGTGACTATGAAGGAAGCTGGTGGTAGTCATGGACTGAGTGATGCAGAGCTTTGGACCAAGGCGAATGAGATTCTCAAACGTACGAGGGGCAGTGACGAGAGCGTGTCAGTGGCTTGGGTACATCGTTTTAAGAAGAGACATGGACTGCATCGATGGCAGATGAAGAGAGCAGCTGCTGCAGTGGCTCCTACAGGGACGGAAGAGATGGAGATGCAGCAGCAGCAGACGGTTGTAGAGCATTGCTTGGATGGGACAGAGAGTGCAGTCTTGGGTGTGACAGGAAACAAGAGAAGTACCACTGAGGTGACGGAATTAAGTGAGGTGACAGGGACATGGATGGACTCAGCGAGGAAGAGACCAGCTACTACAGTTGCAAGGACTAGTGATGCTTGTGCTTCTACTGCAGCTACTGCACATGCTGCAGCTTCTTCATCTACTGTTGGTACTCGGTCACATTTTGTTTCGTCGGATGACATTTTGCTACTGACACATGTGCTGGCCATTAAGCCGTGGGGTTTTCCGTATGCGATGGACGGATGGCAGCAAGTAATGGAAAAGCTGCGGTCAGATGACTCGTTCCGGCTGGAGAAGACGGCGGGTGCGTGTCAGGCGCGGATAAATCTGCTGTTGAGTCACATGAAAGCCGGCAACACGTCGGCACTGCGCAAGTCCGGAACGGAAGAAGAGATCGACACGAAGTGTGCGTTGATTGCAGAGGTGGCAACGCAGATTGACGAGCATGCGCGCGCGACTCAGAAGAGGAATAGCAAGTCATTGACAGTAGTTGGCGATCAGATGTCTGTGGCGAAAGATCGTCGAGAGACGGCTGCTTGTACTGGAGTACCGGATCTTGTGAAGGATCGTGAGCAAATAGCTCAGCGTCGTCTGGAGCTGATGGAGCGCAAGATGGACCGGGAGTTGGCAGCACAGAAGCGTCACTCCGTAGAGCAAGTTATGCGGCTTGAGCAGTTGCATCGTGAACAGCAACAGATTCAACAGGAGCAGCATGCACAATTACTTGCTACAATCCAGCAGCAGCAAGCCATGATGTTTGACCTCATCAAATCATTGGCTTCTTCGACTAATTAATAGCTAATGTAGCTTCAATTGATGGAGGGATGCGTAAGAAGTAATTTTGACTTAAACCTACAACTTGTTAACAATATGTTAGCTATCCCCCCTTCTGCTTCGAATAAGTCAGATATACTTATTGTGACCATCCTATTCGTCTTTATGATTGCTCAATAACGTTAGGGTGGTAGATGGATATCGCTTCCAAAACACTTGATAAAAAACTTGGGCTGCCACGCTTTATCATAGCCATGGTCTTAGCAAGTGTTATATATTAATTATCTGTTCTAGCAGTTGACCTTTTGTTTCGTCGATCACATATTTGTCGGCAGTTTAAACGACTCACACAACTAAAGCCTTAGCCACATTCTGCGCCATCTCCTGGCTACAAAGTAGTTCAACAAGCTTTAATCCCATCTCGATGGCAGTACCAGGACCCTGACTAGTAATGCACTTGTCATTAACTACAACACGCTCATTCGGACGGTAATCTACTCCGACCATTTTCGACTCGTAGCTCGGATACGTCGTAGCCGGGCCAGAATCAAGTAGTCCATGGGGCAATAGAACAACGGCTGGAGCCGCGCAAATGCCACCGTAGTATCGGCCTTGACGTTTTTGTTTTTGCAGCATTGTTATCAGCTCGGCCGAATCGTGGAGATGCTGAGCACCAGGACCCTATTCATACCACGTTTCAAGCAATAGGTTGCAACAATCAGAACATCAAAGGTTTCTAAACCGATCTATGATTAGCCTGAAAGCTCATGCTCACTTACTCCGGGGCACATGATGAGATCAAAACTGAGATCAACACAAGCTTCAATGGCGATATCACCCTGTATTTTCGTTCCTTGCGACATGGTCACGATATTCTGCATCTTGCGACCAACGCTCGCCAGCGTCACCATCATACCACCACGTGTCAGAACGTCTGCCACCGCAATCGCCTCAATCTCCTCCGTCCCGTCAGCCTTTCATTGAAAATGACAACGTGAAAAGAATCGACTTTAGATATTGCTGGATACAAACAATGCAAGCAAAAGCTACTGGACGAACAATCGGGATCAGCACTGCACGGGGTTCACCTTCCACTGTGGACATCGTTTTAATTGCTTTCAAGCCTGAAAAAACTCAACTGACGTACAAAAGAATCTTTCAATTGCCGTTTTTAATAGTCGATGCCACCGTTGACAGCACAATTGTCCCTCGTCCCGTGTACGTTGAAGTTGTCACGTGTTGGTGCATCTGATTGGTTGAGAAAAGATTGAATACTGACAAATCAAAACACGTTGGTGCGTCACACTATAGCCGTTGACCACCATCAGTCTCTATTCTAATAATGGCGGTCAATACGGCGGAAATGCTACTGACAAAGGAAAAGGAAAAGGGTGCATCCGAGTACGAGAAGCAAAAAAAGATTGTAAATGATCTGCTTACCAGTGCAGAAAGTGCGTTCTCAGTTGCAGCCAACAGCCGCTTGTTTACTTCGATTAGTTTAAGTTTTACGTTTGTTTTACTCTTGTTCTAATGGCTACATTGTTACTGTAGATGGTGATTTAGAGATGCTAACGAAGACGGTCGAGTCCATGCAGGTGATGGGTATCACGGACATCAAAGAGACACTTATGGACTTCAAGGACGCACACAAGCGCACAGCTCTGCATTTTGCAGCGGCTAAAGGACGTCGAAAAGTGATCAGCTACATTCTAGATCGAGTTCCTGAGTGTGTCCAGTGTGTGGATGAGGAAGGAGCCACGCCGTTGTTGTATGCGGCCAAAGAGAATGAGTTTGCAGCTGTGAAGCTGTTGTTGGCATTCTCAGTAGACCCTAATAAGGCCATGAACAATGGCACGACGGCGTTGCACGAGGCGGCAGCCAATGGTAGCATCCGGACGGTTAAGCTGCTAGTAGAGCATAAGGCGGATCTCGAAGCAACGACAAAAAATGGCACAGCGTTGCACTTGGCCGTGAGTGAAGACCGCGAAAAGACGGTGGCCGAGCTGCTGCGTCTTGGTGCCAAGGTGGACGTGATGAACGCTTGCGGTGTAACTCCGCTGATGCTAGCCTGCCTCATGAACAAGCCCGTCGTGGTGAAGGAGCTGCTAGAAGGTGGAGCGACGCTGTCGTTAGCAATGGCGGGCGGTCTCACGGCGCTGCACATGGCTGCTGAGACCGGATTTACTGAAGTGGTGCAAGAGTATCTCAACTGCCGTCTAGAGGACACGAAAGAGGTAGCGAATTTGGTTTCGGATGCTGGTGCGAAGCCACTGCAGCTTGCTGCTGGTATGGGACACCACGAGATTGTGACTCTGCTAAGACCTATCACCAAGAGGTTTGAGGATGCTGACCTGGACAAGCTGATGGCTGAGGAGAAAGCCAAGCTGGATGAGTACTACGAGCAGGCTACGAAGAACAAGCCCCCTGGTGTCTCTGCTGAAGCAAACAAGCTTACTACGTTGGTGGAGAAGTTGGAGGCTGAAACCCAGAGGAAGCTTGCTGAAATTGAAAAGGAGGAAGACATTGTTGTTCCCGAAGCCGTTGAGGCGAGCGAAGAGAAGAAGGCTGAAGCCGCCAAGCTCAAGGATGAGGGCAACAAGGCGTATCTGACCAAGAACTATGCATTATCCGTCGACCTTTACTCTCAGGCTATTGCGATTACGCCCGCAGACGCCGTCCTTTACAGCAACCGTTGTGCGGCGCACTTAGGAGCGGGCGACGCTAAGCTGGCGCTGCACGATGTGCGTGTGTCGAAGAAGCTGCGCCCCGAGTGGCCCAAGGCGCTTTTTCGCGAGGGGCAGTGCCTAGAGGTACTTGGACTTTTCGAAGAGGCTGCCTGCGCCATGTGGGCTGCTATGCAACTTGCCCCTGATGACAAGCTGTTGAAGCGCCGATTCCAGGAATGTGTAAAGCGTGGCCGCTCCGACCACCAAGCAAAGCTCACAACTGCCAATGCTTAGGGACGTGTCACGGAAAATATACACATTGCACAATTTGTTGTTAGCACCACCGTGACATCAGTTGTGCAAGCAGCCCAAAGTCTCGCAAGTTATACCTTTCAGTACTGCAGCAAACCATCCGATAGAGCCTATCGGGACATGGCTGCAGCTCCAGCCTCGTACCGGACGCAAGCACCAGCTCCGAGTGCACTGCGCACAAGTGCTAGGTGCACCAATTGTCGGGGACGCCAAGTACGGTGGGCGGCCTGCCGATCGACTGTATTTGCACGCATCGCGCATTCGATTCCCTGACCCGTTTAGCACTGGGAGGTCTATCGACGTCTCCTGCAAGATGGCTCCACTTGACGCGGACACGGCAACGTGAATAATTGGTGAAGGCTGTTTAAGTTATGATTGTGTTTCTATTGACAAGGTTTCAACGGGGTGCGACAAGGTATCGATATCTTGTGCAATGCATATTCGGCGTGGAACAGAGTTATTGTACGTGACATTGAATAGAAGTATCAAGGATTCCAGTTTTAGACCAAGTGTATATTCTTTTGCGTCAGGACAGGACACAAAGACCATCTAGTCTTAAACATAGCTAAAATGGCTGACAAGTACAAATACTGTACGCTTTCGCGGTAAAAGCGAATGATTCGAAAACTGCTACAATTTGTCTCAACTGAAGGCCAAGAAATCATTCTAGAAGTCAAGTACTTGACAACTTGATGCGGAATGCACCATGCAGTTGTTTACTGAACTACACGGTATTTTTAGCGGCAGGTATCAAGCGACGTTTGCCTTCCTGTCAAAAAAACATTCGTGAATGGAATTGCAATCGAGTGATGTATCATGCGATCTACTCCATTACATTAAACACCAGCAAGTTCACAAATTTCAAAGACTTGATGGGTATTTAGCGTCACCATTACAATGTTGAGCAGGTCAAAAAGTGTATTTATCATGTTTATGCAAGAGAAACCAGCTAGCCTAGAACAAGACCGGTGTATGCCAGTTTGGGTACAGTTACTCTTCCGTTAATCAAAACGGTGACGATTAAAACGTGACGCCCGATCAAACAGCTTCTTCTTCTTTTTCTTCCTTTTCTTCTTACGAGTTTTGTGTAACGGGCTCAACGTTACACGTACCCGTTAAGTATGCGATACTTAACGGGCAGTTCTCAAAAGGTACGTAAGTACTTAAGACCTGTCGCTCGAGCGAGACACACCATGTGTCACACCCTTGAGTATGTGATATACACTAGGTGTATTCACATTGATGGGGATGACGCCCAGCTGGGACTAGGCGTCATCAAATGACGTCAGTCAATTACGTCATTGAGCGAGCTTAAATATATTTAAGCTCGCACGTTGGGATGCGCATCTATAGAGATGGCACCCATCATTACATATTAACCAATCAGTAGTTAGATTTATATTTAGTTAAAATCTAATTAAATATAAATCAGTCTTGAATTTCCTTAAACCGAAGCACCACGCACGAGAAGCTGAAAAGCTTCTACGTGACGTCGGTGCCTTCTTGTTAAGAAGTTCGTTGCACTCTCGCTTAAGCGAGAGGCAACTGGTGGTACGACTGCTTAAGCAGTCGACTAACCTCCCAACCACCCTCGTACGCGAAGGTAAGACGGCATAACCGCTTCCTCGCTTGTGCATAAGGTGTGTGCTCGTAGTACGAGGCAACTTCATAGAAGTGCCCGTCTACACTTGGTAGCACTAGTAGTCCTTCCCACGACCCGTCTCTCTGAGCGTGCGTGTGGTTAAGATGGTCCTTAATATGGACTGGAGTGACTTCCCTCACCTCTCCCAACATCATAGGGAGTTGGCAGAGCATATGGCGCAGGGACTTGGTGAACAAGCCCTGGTCAATCTCTTGCATTTTCCTCCTGAGCAACATGTGGCTCAGTTGGAGCAATTTGAGGCGTTTGTGCTCGGGCAGCGTAGAAACACGTCCGAGGTAAACAGCCAAGCCACCGCTGAGTCCATCACTAAGACTCAGGATGAGCTTAGGCTTGAGCAGGCACGTAATGAGGCGCTTAACAGAATTGGTGAGACGCTCTCTGCCCGGTCTAATCAGCCAAAGCCCATTCGAATGGACCCTCCGAAGTTCGATGGAACTAGACCTCACACAATTGTTCACTGGCTATTAGCATTGGAGCAATGTGGAGTGGCGCAGCTCATCGAAGACGACACCAGAATGGTGTCGTATGCCATGTCCAACTTGCGTGGCAAAGCGTCAGAGTGGGCATACTCTGCGCTGATGGCTAATGCTGATGCATTTCCATCATGGGCGATCTTTAAGGCAAAGATTCGCGCCATGTATCAGCCGCCTAACAACGAAGTGTTACTTATGGCGCGCTTCTTTGGAGCACGACAGGCGAAACGCTCTCTGCAAATGTTTGTGCAGGAGATGCGTTCGCTGTCGGCGTCCATCAATGGGGAGACGATACCAGAGCGTATCAAGGTAGCCACGTTCATGAATGGACTTAGGCATGGCCCATCGCGTCAGGCCCTTTTCAGAAAGGTGCCAGCGACGATGGAAGAGGCAATTGACATTGCCTTAGTTGAGGAGCAATCCTACAACAGCGCCTCGGCGACAGCCTATTACAGGCCGTCGTCCGAAAGGTCTGATGCCACTCCTATGGAGTTAGGCAATGCAGATGTGATCTGCTACAAGTGCGGCAAGCGAGGCCATATGATGGCTCGCTGCTATGCCAAGGTAGCTGCTGGTGCCAAGGCAGACAGCAAAAGGTATCCCAACCCGAAGGGAGGTGCGAAAAACCAGCGTGCACGACGCACGGGTTCAGCACCTGCCCAAGATGGGTCGGGAAATGCGGGAGCGCAGTAGGGGCGGGATGCCCTACTGTCGCGGACTCTGAAGCTACCCCTAAGTTCAGAGTAATCGAACAAATGGGTAGCATAGTCCCTGAGGTTCCGAAAGGTCGGACCTCAACCCTTTTGGTCTATAGCGCTCGAGTACGAGGCTATGACCAAGTGATGACCCTTCTCGTGGATTCGGGTGCATCACAAAACTTTGTGAAACTCGCGGCTCTGAAAAGGAGACCGGCGAGTTATGAGTCGCTTTGCCAGGATGGCAAGCGAGAAGAGGCGATCGTTCGTTTAGCAAACGGCGCGCTCGTCAAATCGGAGGGAGTTCAAGTTGAACTCGCCTTCAGTTTCAGTGACTTCTCTTGTAAAGAGAAGTTCACAGTGCTAGGTATGGAGAGTCCATATGACCTCATCCTAGGCATGCCTTGGTTGGCTAAACACCAACCATGGATAGACTGGCGTACACGCACAGTCGCTAGCTCTACACAAGACACCGGAAAGGATGTGCTCTTGCGAGAGGCTTATGTGACTGATGCTGTGTCCAACACAGTCGAGGGGGCGATGACGGTATGTCAATCGACACCAGGAACTACCCAGCTCGAAAGGAGTGGTGTAGTTGTGAGTGCACTGGCGGAAAGCCAGGTGACACATATTCCTACCCAGGTCGAAAAGACTGGTGTAGTGAATGGGGCGATGACAGGTAGTCATGCGTCCAATAGTCCTGCACAGAGCCGAGAGCCTGTGGCAATTAATGGTGGGCTGACAGCAAGTCAAGCGCCACAAGAACCAGCACAGAGCCAAGAGCCTGGTGCGGTTGGAAGGAGTGCGTTAGCTGAGATAGCAACGACACCTTCTTCCAGGTCAAAGGTCGTGGTGACTCGAAGAACGAGCACCAGACGTATTAAGACGATCAAGGGCACGTCGAAACGAGTGACCCTTGGATCAGTCTCGGTCCAAGAAGACGGACCTACGAACGAGTTGTTCGAGGCCGTCGAAGACAAAATGCCGGAGGCATCCTCAGTTGAGGTGCTCCACTTGTCTTGGCATCTGCCGAGGAGATAGAAAATCTCTCGGAGATGACGTGGGATCTGTTCCTGTCCGAACTAAAGGAAGGAAAGATCCACGAGATAGTCGCACCAGTTCCAGAAGAGAACGTGGTGGACTGTAGCTCGTCGTACACAATGGACGAGAGCGTCTTGGAGACCGACAAAAAGAAACGGTTCGCTGCTCAAGGCTGGGATGCCTTGAAGGACAGCCCGTTCTACGATGTCCTGTGGAAACACCGTGATGTGTTTCCAGCAGAAGTGCCGAGCCGCCTACCGGCCGTTAGGGGCATCATACACGAGATTGACCTGGAGCCTGGAACCAAGTATTGTGTGACCAGGCAATGGCCATTGCCGATGGAACAAGCCGATTACATCGATGAGTTCTTCGACAAGCGAGCTAAGGCGGGACATGTACGTGAGAGCAATTCGCCTCACTGCAGCCCGACCTTCTGTGTGCGTAAAGCACACGGGTGGATGGCGCGTGGTTCATGCTTATAATAAGCTGAACACGGCCACCATTCCAGCTCAAACGCCGATCCCGCGGAAAGATGTTTTGTTGAATTCCATGGGAAAGTCAACTATCTTTTCCGCGTTGGATCTGAAGGATGGCTACTATCAGGTTCTCATGAGAGATACCGATGTAGCCAAAACGGCAGTAAGCACCCCAAGCGGTATGCTGTGGGAGTGGCTTGTGATGCCACAAGGGCTGAAAAATGCTCCGGCAACATTCAACCGAGTGGTGGCTCGCGTGATGCGTCAGCACCATGCCTAGGTGCCCCATTACTTTGACGATGTATTCGTGCATAGTAGGGCGGAGAACGGTCTGAGCGCGATAGAGTAGCACAAGCGTCATTTAGGCGCTGTGTTGCAGACTCTGGGTGACGCCCAATTATACGTGAACTTGCAAAAGTGCGTAATAGGGGTCCCCGAGATACGTGTACTGGGCTGCATCGTAGGTGCACATGGTGTTCGAGCAGACCCAGAAAAGGTAAAGGCTGTAAAGGAATGGCCAGTTCCACGTCATGTGAAGGATCTGCGCCAATTCCTTGGGCTCGCTAATTACTTGCATAAATACAGCAAGAATTATGCGGAGCAGACCAGTCCGTTGTCTGACCTTTTAATAAAA